TAGCTCTGTTGCTCGTGGCAGACTCACCTCATGTCTGGTTCTGTGACTATTTCTAGGAGACCCGTGCCTGCTCTATTCAGATCTATGCTTGAGGTTCTTGTCTTCGAATCGAACGTCGCCTTCGCAGTATCCTGCAAACACCTCAGTTGAAGTTCTTGTTACTTGGTCACGACATACTTGCTCGAGCTGAATCTGTTTTATCCTCACAGTCCGGGAAGTCTCTCGTACTTCGATATTACCTCCAAGGGCAATAGGGGCTGTGGAAGGAGCCGGGGTCAAAGAGACGTCGCGGGAAATCAGCGGAGGAACAGACCGTAATGTTGAGTGATCTGGTAGCCAGAAGGCAAATCTGTATAGAAGTAATGTTTCCGATCAAATGAAGAGCGCATTTGTAGCGCAGAATCCAGAGCCAGAGCTGTTCGGATTGCGAGGTCAACACATTCCTGATTGACTTTCTACAAGAGTCGTCAGTCGACGACATGGATCCAGGCAACTAGTACAAACAGGAAGCGTTCCTGGAAATGCCGCATCAAAAGGAGAAACATGAATGTTGGGCGCTTCTCCCAAGGTAGAGTTGAGAGAGTCTGTATAGTAGCTGAGTCTGTAAGCTCAGGTTTCAACACACGCGACGAGCCTGAGAAAAGCTTGTGACGTGAAGCAATCTGTGCGTGAGTCTCGATTCCAACGACCACTTCCCATCCTGGCCAGCGTCTGTCGTTCACAGCGCCGTGAAGACATCTTCGCAGGGAGAAAGATGATGGCAGGAATCTGGCGAGCATACACGGTCCGATGAATCCGCCCTGCACGTGATCGCGCATGGTATCGGCGTGGGTAACGTCGCCGCGTAGCTTGTTGAGACTGGTCTACGATGTCCGCGAACCCGCCTCCCAACATCCGAGTCGTTGTCCGGATTCCACACAATCGTCCTGAGCAAGCCATCCCTGATCCGCCCCGGATAGAGTGGACCCAGGAGAAAGCCGATATACTCTGGAAGGTTATCGAGCGCTCACGATCTACCGACAACGCAGGAACAGACTGTTGGTTCCCTTGTTATGTGATACATGCAGAAGGAGCTGACTGCGCTAGGGAAGGGACTAGCTGCGCATCTGGACGTCCCTCTCCCTTACCTCCTCTACCGGGTTCAAGGGCGATTTCAAGAAGAGCTTCGCGGGCTTCAAGATATACCAGGGGTATCTAGTCCTTCGGTTGCGCAACCAAACAACAAGCCTTTCGAAGACGCGGCGATCTCCCCCATTGACAAACCTTCCTCTGTCGCCATGCGGGCCGTGCACCGTTTGAGCACGAGTGGCAGGATGTCACCGGCTGGCCGGCTTTCGACGCCTTTGGGTGTACGGGCCCGGCTTAATTCGCTGGGGAAGAACTCCGTGCCGCAGCCCAAGAAAGCACTTTCCTCGTCCACGCTTACCGCCCAAGTCACATTCGGTGGTGGGCCCGCGAAACGCACCCTGAGCCCGCCTTCGTCAAATCCGGAGTCAGGCACGGATTCCGAGGACGAAGAATCGAGGCGCGAAGAAGAGGCTGAGCGCAACGCCGAGGAACAAGAGTCGCTCGAACGCAAACTACAAGAACTGCAACTTATGGTGACCAACGAGTCTTTAGGCCTGGTATCCCGTCCACCTCGGCCGCCGCTTCACAGCAGCAGCAGCAGCAGCAAAGGGAAAACGAGGGCCATTGAAGTAGACCGTGGACGCGCCAATCAGATCAACACCCTCCCCGCTCAAATGACATTCAGACGGGAGAAAGCATACAGTCCGATGAGCGTTTCCAGCGCCAGTTCTGTTCAGAGCTCGATTCCTGATATTCCTTCGCCGTCGAATGGATCAAGAACGCATTCTCCCATGAGCCGACATCTTTCACCGAGCAAATCGTCCAGTCCTCCGGCATTGTCACCCCGCAGCGCGCTCGGGAGAGCGTATGCGACAGAACAGGGCAGCAATCAAGGTTCAGAAGCGTCAAGCTTCAGTGATATGAGCGGTATGTCTTCCTGATGGACGTAGACTCTCTGGTTGAATGCTTTCAGATCTATCTACCTCAGCGTTGGACAGTGCGTTCTTGTCCAACTTCCGTGGGCCAGCCTCCCGAGTGAGCTCAGTCTTCAGCGGTCGCAGTCGCATGTCCACGCGCCCATTTCCCTTGTAATATCATATATATTGTACATCATTTTCCAATCATGTTCGTCCAATCAAATTTAGTGTACTTTTGCTTGAATTGGAGAACGCGCTCTTTGTTGCTGTGGAAGTCGATTCGCTTCGGTCGTCTCAACCGGCGAGGCTCAATCCCTAAAACATTGCCAATAATTTCGCCCGCAAAGTACCTGGTTTACGGGGGCTGAGAAGCGAGGATAAAGGGATCAAGAGTGGAACGTACTTTGGAAATTCTCCGCCGCCCTTTTCTCCTTCCTCCAGACCACCATCCTCCTCATTGGCTGCATCCCCGGTACCTTCAATCACATGACCGTAACCTTTCTCGCCTTTATAGTCGAATTGAACCATGAAATAAGGCAGATTCGGAACCATAGCACGCCGGAAACCTCCCGGCCGTCTAGAGAAATCGATCAGTTTCTTGTGCTGCGACCATTCAGCCTCGGAGGCAAGAATCGATTCCTGAATGGGGATCAGTGCTGTTATGCGGTGTATCGCCGGTGTAAATGAACCTTGAAGTACTGAGGAATGTCTTCGAACTGCTCCCAGGGAAGCGGAACACATTCAATGCATGTGTGTTTCTGCCATTTCAGCGTGATCACAGTCTCATAAAAGATGACGCCCTTGTCTTCTTCAGCGAACATCCGCATCAGACATTTCATGAAATTCTGTTCAATAGAGGTCAGAATATACTATCCGAGTCGGGCGAGGAGAACGTACCCGGACTTCATCCCAAACATCATCGTCAGCTTCAAGCATGTTGAGATGATGCTGGATGGGAACAATCAGACAATGCCCATCCACCAGTTCCTCATTCGGAGTGCACGAGAGATATGCGCGAGTGCCCATGGCCACTACAGCACATTTTGGCGGCGAATCGTCTTCCCCAAAACAATAAACACACTCGGATAGCACCTTTTGCGTGCGTTTAAAGTCTGATAGTGGTTAGTTCTTTCGCGAGGAAAGAGGACGTTCAGTACAGACCATGAATCGCAAACTGGCGCTTCATAGCATCGGAACGCATTTTCTGACGGCCAAGCTTTTCAGCATTGTCATCGATGTAGTCCAGATCATTCTGTGGAACATGAGGCTTTAAAGACAATCATTCGTTCGATGAGACACACCTGGAACTTGCCATCACCCATGATTTGTCTAGCAAACTCGGCGTCCAAATTCTTCTGATCTGACATGCCCCCGCCGAATTTCTCCTGCCGCAGCATCTCACCCAAAGTAGTCGTGTCGTCGTTGGCATTGATTCTCAAGACCTCACCGGTTTTGGGATCGCGCGTTTCGAACTATGGCAGTCAGCGAGAGAGATATCGAGAACAAAGAAGTCACCGACTTTAGCTTCCTTCTTCCTGCGATTTCCCGGCAGATTTGCGTCCTCAACCGCGCCATGGCCCACATCGTACAGCTTCCCATGCCCATCGAGCGTTGGAAGCATCTCCACCTTGGTACGTACTCCGTTCTCAGACACCACACCTTGCGCTTTGCGAGACTCGGCATCATATTCTCGTTCAAGCGCCTCTGCATCAGAGGAGCCCATTAACTTGGCTCTGAGCACTTTAGCCTGCAGCCGGTTCAATGAAGACGGTGACATCGCACGCGTTTTCGGTCCACCGACGGGAGGCGTGAGCATGGCTGGAATCGGTGTGCGACTTTGAGCGAGGGGCGAGCCCGTTTGTGAGGGCAGTCGGAGCGAGTCGAAGCGTCGGGCAGCATATGAAGGTGCCCCACCCAACGGTGTAGGTGTCGAGGGCCCGCTCTCGCCGCTGTCTCGTGGCCCTCCTGGACGCTTGAATGATGAACCACGACCACTGCCTCCCACGTCATTGAACATGAAGCGCTTCTCCCCGTCGGTTCCTCCGGCGTAGGATCTGGTATTGCGATTGTCCCGCTCTCGATCTGACCGCTTTCCGTTGCGTTCGTCCAAGATTTGACGCTCCTTCTTGGCTTCTTCAAAGGCTTCTAGCGATCCGAATCTGTCGATAGCAACTTCCTCGATGGGTAGACCCTCTTCCTCCGCAGTCTCATAGACTCGGCGAAGTCTCATCATTCTCCACTGCGATCCCGGTCCACCTGGAGTAGCCGCTTTGGCGGGCGGAGGAGTCTCCACATCGATGCTTGTGTTGTTTCCGAGCCTGAGATCCTGATTGAGCTCTTTCGCATGAATGATAGGCTGTATAACATGTCAGGCCCGAGTACCCGCCTATGTGCTTTTAAACGCAACTTGATCCACATCTGGTTTGTCAGGTCGCTTCTTCATGTCCGCGCCTAAGCTTGAGAAAAAATCGACGCCACCAGCAACTGTCCTGTTGTCACCCAGTTCTTCGCCGTAATCTTCTGTGAGCGAGGTATTCCCAACATCCCGCTCGCCGGAGGTCCGCACTTGGACAGGTTGTGATGCAGTTGGAGGCGCTAGCATCCAGTCATCTCTCTTGAGAGTGGACTCTGTCGATGAAGTTGGTGGAAGGGGAGGGCCCGACCGACTGGGAGGTGCAGAAGATTGAATTTTGAGGCTCTCCGCTGTAGGTATCGTCGTAGCTAGCGGCTGTTTACGATTCAATTGATGCGACCAAAGGAGCGGGGCAGCTTGACGCACGCGTTCACCATCCATATCGATGTTCTTCTCCACCCATAAGTCCTCGTCGTCAGGATCCTCGTCGACGATCGTGGTCTGCTTCGACTTTTTGTGTTTGCGGTGACTATCCTCATGCCTACTCCGCTTCTTGCTCTTCCTTTCGGGATCATCTTTGCGAGAGCGCTTGTGTTTTGACGACGAGGACGCTTCGTCCATGCTACGCGGTTGACTTCCAAGTTCAAGTTGTAGAGGTGACGTCACGGAACTGTCAAATCTTCATTTCTGCTCTGGTCTAATACCTTCTACCTACTACCTTGTAAGTTGGTGCATACGACCTGCCTAAACATTTCCTCCACGATAACTGGTACACTATTAATGTCAATTCATTCGCTTTGTCCGGTCGTAACATGGATTCCCTCCAAGTCTCCCTTTGCACGCCAATCTTTAAGCAAGTTGATGTAACTCACATAGCCTTCACCCCATGCCGAAGCGCGAGCAGCTTTGAGCTCTTCTACCGGATCTTTGAGACGGGCATGCTCTCCTTGGCTGTTGAAGTATCCTGGCGTGCATCCAGGAACAGCAGCGAACCATCCGGATCTCTTGACCACCTCGTCGGCCCATCGTTCCTCGGCGTCCTTCTCAACCTCGACGACAACCTGGCCGGGACGATCAACGTCTTTATGCGCCTGTGCGACTATCCAGGCGACCTGCTTGGAGACCGTGTCGAGGGCGGACATGAAGTTGGCCGTGAACCCAAGCTGGGAGAGACCAGGGAGGAAGAAGAAGTTGGGGAACCCGTTCGATGCCAAGCCATGCAGAGTGCTGCACCCTTCTTCTCGCCACTTCGCCTCCATATCCCGCCCGTCACGGCCGGTGACTCGGAAGTTTCCACGAGATGCCGGACACCCAGACCCAGCAACGAGCCCGACGATGTAGCCCGTGCTGAGAACGAGAATGTCGATCGGATATTCCTTGCCATTCGCGATCACACCGGTGGCCGTCATTGAGTCTACGCCCTTCCCATCAGTGTCGACGAGTGTGACATTGGGCTTGTTGAATGCGGGGAGGTAGTCGTCGTGGAACGTAGGACGCTTGCACCATACGGGGTACCAGGCCTTAAGATTCTCGGCTGTGGCAGGATCTTGGACGATCTCGTCCACCCGGGCCCTCACTCTCTCGGCGCGGGGAAGGTCAACGGCATTTAGTGCGGCGATATGGTCGGGGACCTTATCGGGCGTGATAAACGTGGGAGTTGGTGCTCCGTTGATGCCACAATATGCAGGCATTTTGCACCAGCCGTCCGCCACCAGATCCGGGCCCTCGGGTGTGTTGACCATAATCAGATTGAAATTCATCGCGCGGGCCTGCTGCCAGCCTTTCCCGGTGGCGATCTTCGTCTTCCATTCGATAGGATCAGTGCGGCGCTGGCCTCGCACGTCGACGCTCGACGGTGTTCGCTGGAAGACGTAAAGATGTTTCGCCCACTTGGCCAGTTCAGGCACGACTTGAATGGCTGTCGCACCAGTGCCTATGATGCCCACGCGCTTGTCTTTGAGCTTGTCCATGGTCCAATCTGTCGGTGTTCCCCCGGTGACCGGATAGTTCCATCGAGCGGTGTGAAACATAGTGCCCTGGAACGTGTCCATGCCAGGCAGCAGCGGTATCTGAGGCGAAACGATCGCTCCAGCGGCCTGACATAGGAACTGTGAGTACACCCAAAACGACCGCTCTGGCTCATCCGGCCCACGGTATTCCCGCAGGCCGACTTTCCATCGCTTCTGATCGTCGAGCCACTGCGCCTCGTGATAGACCGTTCTGAAGGACCCGTTGTTCTTGAGCCCGTAGTGCTCTGCGATGTGTTCGGCGTGTTCTCGCAGTTCGTTCCCATAGGCATACTTGAATGTCGGCATGTGTCCGAGTTCCTCCAGCAGGGGCATATAGATGTAGCTTTCGATGTCACACATCAGGCCTGGATACCGATTCCAGTACCAAGTCCCACCAAATCCGCCTGCCGCGTCGACGAAGCGAATGCTCGCCGGGTCGAAACCAGCCTCGACCAGACGCGCAGCCAGCACAAGCGCACCATAACCGGCGCCGAGAAGGAGGAACTTGATGTCGTCTCCGTCGTTCAGCACATGCTGTGCATTGTTGAGAGCATCGTGATCGACCCATGGGTCGGTCTCGAGTTGCTTGAACTTGTCCGACAGCGCGAGCTCCACAAACTGCGAGGTTCCATCTGAACGCAGCCGCTTCTCGCGCTCTTGAAGGTATTTGTCTGGGATACCGGTTTCGCGGAGGCCGTTCATTGTGGAGTTGGGACTGGAAGGTACTTCTGTAGGGCTTTTATACCATTCATCGGCTTCGCTCCGTGGTATGGGAAGGGAACTGCTCACCCGATGAGATTAGACAGCTGACGAGTCTGGTGAGCACCGTGCGACCACGCTTAGACGCAGTGCTAATACTGAACAGCCCTCGAGAATGATTGAGCCATGCTCGAAACTGGATTGGACTTCACAAGAGGTTGGACATCCCAGACCATTGGTGGATGTCGAGGAGGTGTAGCTGCAAGTACCCAGCCCATCTGGCTATCATCAATGAGGGTCGGCGCAATCCAGATAAGGGTCACGTTATCGCATTTCACGGCAGAGCCAACGTCGGAACAGGAATGCCGCTGTACCCCGCATTCTCTTTGAGCCACTTAGACTCGAAGCCTCGGGCTCAAGCTCCTTCTTCATCGATGCAGAAACAAGCCAAGCAGCAAGAAGGCTTCCCAGTCAGTTTGGACTAATGACCATCAGCCCAGCTGATTAGGTGCTGACTTGAACGAAGAGGTGCGTGATCGGAAAATCGTGGCCAACGGTCCCACGACACACCACACTCCCAAATTGGGAAATTGCTTGGTGGGAGCAAATATCGGCGATCGACTGCAGGAACACTCTGATGTAGTGGTTGACAACGACAGAGGACAGAAATGTCCTCAGCATCCCCTGTAGGTACCCTCGTATGAGTCTTCTCCCCTCAAAATTACTCCTCCCAGTGTAGATGGTAGTCGCGTCGTTACTATAGGTTTCTGGGTGCTCAGCACTCTTTCCAGGCCACGTACTACTTCCAGACCGCATGCATTCACATAGTAATTGAGACTGTGCTATTGATCGTATTCTGCTCTAAAACCCTCGGAGGAGTATCAGAGTCGACCGTCAAGAGCGTTGAGAGTGTGCGACAGGTGCGTCAATGCCGAGCAGCCGAGTGATGCTGGATCAGTAAAAAATGATCAACGCTTACAAATCTCCTGCTGGCGTCGCCACATCAGAGAACAAGATCTTCCGATCACGTACCTCTTGCATCACATCAACAGTCAGGGAAATGACTAATGACCCCCTGTCATGTAAGACCTGAAACTATCTCCCGAATCCCGATCCCCAAGGACATTCCGTGGGGCCTAGGAAGTGAGGAGCAATTCGTGCCACTGTATTGACCGGGAAAAACCAAGCTGGCATTCTCACCAAGACAACGACTTGCTCGATACGTAGCAAGTGTGGATTGTTGCAAGCGACCCGGTGTGGGGCATGTGAAAATTTGATCATGATGGCACGTGTCGATCACCTTTTTTGAAACTGGGACCATTTTAGGTGCTCAAGCTCTCTCCTGGTCTGCCCCGTCATCCGGTCTTCCTCGTTCCCAGTCATGTCGCTCGCTGATCTATTAATTGGGGTCACCCCATTCACGCTCCCCCGCCATCTCACCAGCTTTGTTGAGGGCCAGACGCCGTTGTCAACGACCCCGGTCGTGCTCGGCACTCTGGCCGCATACCTGGCTACGATCTTTGGAATTCAAGCAGCCATGAAAAACCGCCCGCCCCAGAAGCTCAATGCTCTTTTCCAAGTCCACAACGTCTTCTTGAGCGGTGGAAGTCTCTTGCTTCTGGTTCTGATGATGGAGGAGGTCATTCCTATCATTTGGAAGAACGGGTTTTTGAACGCCATTTGTCGTGAGGATTCCTGGACTCCGGTGCGTCTCATTCATACAGCATCCTTTTCTACTTCTTAACTTCGCCCCAGCGCCTGGAATTCTACTACATGATCAACTATTACTTCAAGTACATTGAACTCATTGACACGGTGTTTCTCGCTTTCAAGAAGAAGCCGCTTGGTGAGTCTCATCCCAAGCTTCATTTCTGGTCCCTGTGCTAACGGCTTCAGCTTTCCTCCATGTGTTCCACCACTCTGCAACGGCTCTCCTATGCTACTCTCAACTCCTCGGAAAAACGAGTATTGTCAGCGCATTCCTCTTATATGACCTCACACGCCGCTCACCCTCCCTTGTTAGTCATGGACTGTCATTAGTCTCAACTTGACCGTCCATGTTTTGATGTGTGCGTGACACTCACCTCGAAGTGTGCCTTCATTGACGCGTCCGCAGACTACTACTACTATGCTACTGCCGGCGGCGCCAGGATCTGGGTAAGTTATCATTGGGGAATTGGTCTCTTCAGTGCTCAATGCCGCGACAGTGGAAGAAGTACTTGACTATGATGCAAATCACTCAATTCGTGATTGACCTCTTCCTTGTTTACTTCGGGAGTGCGTAAAATTCTCAACGCTTGTTGCCGTGACTGAGCATTTACTCAGCTTACGGACACTTTGCCTCGACCTACTACGACGGAATTCTGCCTCACGTTGGCAACTGCGCTGGAACCGAGTCTGCCGCCGTCTTTGGCTGTGCGCTCTTGACCTCATATCTCGGCCTGTTCATCCAATTCTACTTCCAAACGTACAAGAAAGGTTCCAAGAAGCCGCGTGCCAATGGCACCGCCAACGGCACCACCAACGGGACTGCCAACGGGACTGCCAATGGGACTGCCAACGGCAAAACGTTCGTCGCCTGTAGCGTGTTTCCACTTGCGTGTTTACTCACTGTTTATGTTCAGCGTGAAGATCGAGTGAGACTACTGACCTATATTAATAGTATATAGAGGGGCCTCGTGGGGCTTCAAGATGTGCACGCTTCAAAAATTGTAATAGCCCACATAATGTGCATCCGTGGATTCGATGTCACCTGTGTGACGAGACGCGCGTGTGACATCGCGTTGCCCCATTACAAACAAGAGCCTGGTTGAAACCGCGTCGGACAGCGCGAAGTTCGGTCTGAGCATGCTGCCCGGACCTTCTCTCCGCGTCCTTGCACACTCGATACACTCCCCAGAGGATCACACTCGGTTTCATCCCCCGAGACTTCTTGCAGAGGTGGAAGAGTAAGTATATGCTGAAAGTGGTCCAGGGCCTTCGTTCGTCGGTTCTCTGCTGCGGCAGCAAGAATTGAGGGATGTTTTCAAGCCGGTGTGCTGAATCAGAGACCGAGCCGATGGTTACGCTGTCTAATTTCATGACAGTATCTATCTCGCAGGCCGTGAAGTCGGCGCACTTTCCGTGTGCACGTTGTAGGTTAAGCTTGGCGGGAATAGGCAGATCATGCTTCTCAATTTACGGTCAAAACAAGCCGTGAATGTAAGATTTCGAGAAGTACTTGACGTGCGAGGAATCTCGGGAGTCGGAGACGATGGCTGCTTGATGCGATCATCCGACTCGGAGCCCCCTGATGCGGCTGACCTGGACCCTAGTCAAGAGTATTGGCATTATGGAACTCGCCAACATACAGGATCCAACGGGAATGGGTGGAAATCGCTTCCGTCGAGACAACTTCCCCTGTTGAAGCATGTAGAAAGTCTATGCTACTCTGACAGTTGCCAAACTTTCCTTCTAATGTGCAGCAGATTTTCGTGTGATCCTCGGCACTGCCTGCCGCAGAATTACCAAGTCGCCGCTCCTTGCTCTCTCACACATACATACTGAGCTCGAGCTCACATCATGTACCAGCTGAAAAGGCTGGTCAGCCAGGGTCCCTCACCCGCCTACACTGCTGTCCCAACAGATAATACTACCAGCCCATTGCTCGCTCCGCAAGATGACGAACCGGCGTTCCCAGACCGTCCAAATTATCGTCCCCGACCTCGATGGCGACGGGTGGCTACTCTTTCCCTCATTACTGTCGTCCTGCTCGGATGCATGGCAGCCGTTGCAGTGTTCACTGCTGGACCCCGAAAATCCGACAAATCCGTTCCCAGCTCTCCGCAATATGTCCCTCCCGCATCCACTCCCGAAACCGAATACGTGCCGGAGAAGAGTCCGACAACAGACGAGGACATCTCCGACCCTGTTACCGCCGCGCGCGTCAGCCTGGAAGCACTCGTATCCAGGCAATCCCGTACACTCAAGCAAGCTGCGGCCCGTTACACGCTCAAGGCTGGCCGTGCTCCACCACGGAACTACGACAAGTGGTTCACATTTGCGCGGGAGCACAAATGTCTGATCGACGAGTACGACCTGATTATCCGTGACTTTGAGCCGTGGGCCCAGGTGGCGCGGAAGCATCCCAAACATTTCAAGGAGATGATCGCCCGCGGCAGAGAGTTGGTATGTGCAAGATCAGATCGCTTTTGAGCTCCTTCTCTGACCTGGAGCAGATGCGGAAAGACTCCGCAGGAATGGATACTATCGGCATAAAGAACGGGACCGTGGTGATGCCCTCTTATACAGGAACGTCGTTCGACGGCGACTGGCCGAGGACCGTTGGCAGAGTGCGTGAGCTTTGTTTGATGCAGTTGAGACTCATCTGGTTGCCAGTTTGCCCACTTTCTTCCCGACATGGAGTTTCTTCTCAATGGGAGAGACGAGCCACGAGTCGTCTTCGATGTCAGGAAGCCTGGGGCTCTCGAATCTGCGATTCAACTCAAGGACACGAACCCTTTCCATGTCTCGCCCCGGCCGACCTCCGATTTCTTCAAGGACAAGAGCGGATGCAGCCCACTCAGTGCCGACAAGGGTTTTGGCATGGATGGTAGTGCAGACATAGCTTGTGAGACTATGTTCTCCAGAAGACCTCTCGCTGACTGGAGCACTCAGTCCTGCGCTCCAGCTCTTCTTCCGACTTTACCACAGATCTGTGGCCGCTTCTCAGCATGACGAAGATCTCGCCCTGTTTTTCAGACATCTTGTACCCCGGGCAATACTTTTACGACGACAGCTGGTGGTCAGGCAGCTTTGCATTCTCCAACAATGTCAAATGGGAAGACAAGCTCGACAAGATCTGTCAGTCATACTTTTGTTGATGGGTTTCATCTACTCACCCCCCACAGACTGGAGAGGTATGTCCAACGGAGGACACATCATCGGAGACAACTACCGGCGCTTCCCACGATTTCGTCTCATCGATATGGCCCGGAATAATTCGGACATTCTCGATGTTCGAATGACCCAATTCGCTGAAACCCACTGTACCACGAACTGCGATCGGAGCGGAATCATTGCCGAATACAACATCGGTCCGCCGGCGGACCCTAAAGAGAACATCTACAAGTATAAATACCTCCTAGACGTCGACGGAAACACGTAGGCAGCTCACTGATTGGCGCGTTCGCGAGCTGACACGCATGCGCAGGTTCAGCGGGAGGTTTCTTGGGCTTCTCAAGTCTGGGTCCCTCGTCTTCAAGGTATGTCAGCTACTCTAGTGATTGTGGACGTTTTCAAACGTCCTTCAGTCGACCGCATTTGATGAGTACTTCAACCACTGGCTTCGCCCCTACGAACACTACATCCCGGTGCGACCTGACCTTTCAGATCTAATGGAGAAGGTCCGCTGGGCTATGAACAACCAGAACGAGGCACGCCGGATCCAGGAGTCCGGGAAGTTGTTCACAGAGACTGTCATCAGCGACGCCCAGAACGACTGCTACTTCGCTCTTGTCCTGTTAGAATGGGCCCGACTCGAAAAGATCGCAGACGAGCCTTGAGAGCCGATATTGCTCCTATGTATAACACCATCAGTTACGAGTTGGGACCTATTCTAGAACCTCTGTACTCATAGATTGAAAACCTCGGACTGGGTAATACTTGATGGTAGTGTGGGTGTCAATCAGCGCGTTTCTCGCCGGTGGCGATGCACAATGATCAAGAAACGCACTCGCCCTTCCACCAGCGTTCGCGCCAGAACGACAGACAATGAGCCAGAATCTGACAAAGAGGATAAAGAGGACGGCGAATCGTGGGTGACGGCTGATTCCTTGCTTTCACGAGCCTCACTTCCACCCACCAGTCCCAATATCTCTGACCTGCTCGAAATCCGCAAGCTCCGCCAAGCGCGCCAGGGAATAGATTCCGCCAAGCTGGGAAAGGGTGACACCAAGAGGAAGAGAAGGATTGCAGAGGATGATGAAGAAAAACCAGTAGCAGGGCTTCGCCGAATGGACGAGGAAGATGTGTGAGTACCTGCCTGATCACATAGCCCAGGCGATTCACCGTGCTAGCGACGAAGACACGCGCGCTAGAAGGGCGGTCCGCACCAGCAACTTCACGCAACAAACGAACGCGCTCGATGTTGACAAGCATATGTCCGCCCATTGCCTTTGCATCGCGCCTGCATTTTGACTTGCCCCCAGGATGGAATACATCGAGAAGAACCTGACGGTTCGGGGCAAACCACGAGACGAATCCGAGTCCAAACCAGTGCCTGCCGATCCGGAGGATGCGCTGTATCAAATCACCGACCGGTGGAAGTTGGACAAGCAGAAACCCACCGACGACGGTAGTGTCACAAACAGTCTCGGGATGCTTACTGCTATCCCAGAGGTTGACCTAGGCATGGAGTACACCGTCCTCTTTGTCAATCCTTTCTCAAACTGACTGGGTCGTTCAGTACGCGACTGAAGAACATCGAAGACACTGAGAGAGCGAAACGGGCCGTGGCCGACAGGCCCGACGCACGCAGGGTTCCTAATGACGAGGAGCATCTCGTTGCGACGCGATGTGTGTATTGACGTTTCGACGCGAATCTTATTCACCCATTCGTTCTAGTCTACCGACCCAACCTGAAGACCAAATCTGATTCGGACATCCTCAGAGACGCCAAATTGGAAGCGATGGGGCTTGCCGTACCGGTCGAACATCCACGGCGAACCAACGACTCAACTCAGATGGCCACAGACGAAATGGTATGAAATCTCTCCGCCGTATACCCGTCCTCACGTGTCTTTGCAGGTCATGGAACGCTTCAAGAAACGGATGAAAAAATGACAAGTATGTACAGACTGTATATCCAGATTACCAATTCTCTGTCGCATTCTTCACGAGAATGCGTGCGTTATTGACAAAGGCTCGTATCAATTCATCGAAGGCTGCCCGCTCTGTTTCGGAGGCATTAGTGTCTGCTCGTTTGTTCGCAATTGCGAGAAGGAAGGCGGGTCGGGCGATCTCCAGCTCCAGCTCATGCAGAATTTCAGACTGCGACGGCGTCAGTGGGCAGAAAGAATATACATGTCAAGGGAGCGCACTGGGCCGTTGGCGTACGACGCGGTAACCTGAGTGAGATCAATGATGAATTCTTGGTGTGTGTAGCTCAGGCGGTCCTTTTTCCGTGTGTGTGAAACCGAACCGACGGGATGCTGCACTGGAGAATAATTCAGGAGGTGGTTATGTAAAATTAGAGCACATACCAGGAATTTCGACGTTCACGCTGACACGCCAATCGGCGTGACGCTTTGGATTGTAGATGTTCAAGTCCCCCAGGCGCACCTTCCGCATGCATTCGAGAACATTTCCCGTCTTTTCATCCCGCGTCACGCGTATTTTCTCCTTGTCTTTCGGGTTTTCTGACGACGCGTAGAATGAGTCGATGAGATGGAGGTGGTTGTATTCCAGTGGCGTGGAGGGGAACGAGGACTGTGAAGAAGCCATCTTGAGCTCATTCAGACGCGTATTGAAATGTCGGTGCTGATGCTGATCGTGGATGAGAACGCGGTAGGTTGAGGATAGCCAGTGAGCGTACTGAGCTCATGTTAGATTCGAAGCGTATATCCAGACCATCTGGCGCAAGGACTGGCCGGTAGTACAATGTCAGCACCGAGCAGAGACGAGCACCAGCGCGACTCACTGGTTTCCGTAAGTATTGGGAGCATTAAACGAGAATTCGTATTCCGATCCCGTAGAAGGCCCACTTTCGCCTCAACCTCGATTTTGCCTTGAAGATCTGGCGGGCAATTCATGATGTGGTAGTGAATGAAGTCCGCGATTTCTCTGATGAATTCGTCGAGTGGCTCCACCCCCAGTATTGAAAGAGACAGAGGCGGGCTCATTTTTAGGCCAGAGTTGAGTTAGATTTTGGGTAGGCAGTGATGCTCGTTGTGCCTGTCGAAAGTAGTTGATGACAGAACAGGTCAGACAAACTGTGCTGGAGCTCAATCAGTGGCGGTGCTGATGCATAGAGATTAGATAACTCGAGAAGCTGTTACGATGATCACTGATCAGGCGGCCATAGGCTGCGATAGGCCCTCTTCTTCGTTCTTACAGGTACGGGTACGTACTTATCGCCTAAAAATCTCTCGTGACTCTTCCTGCACCCATCTTCACGATGTCTGTCGTGCATCAACCGCTATCTGAGTCTATGATACCTCGTCTGGACCCCGAATACGTCGAATTTCACAGATCCACGCTCGCTTACATCATCCCTCCGCACACTTTGCCCTGGTCCCCAGAGCTTAGAAACGCGCCTGCTGTTCCCGGAAGCTCGACACCGCTCTCTGTTGGAAGTACTGTAGACATTGATCTCACCTACACCAAGTTCAGAGCTTTCACACCCGAGGGCGAGGCGCCGGCGGACGGCTGGCCAGTCTTCATCTTCTTCCACGGAGGAGGCTGGACTTTCGGAAGCATCGGGGCAGAGAATGCGTTTGCTACAAACATGTGTGTCCGTGAGTCCGCTTGACGCTTGTCACTGTGGGCGCTCTCCTGATGCACTACGCAAGACGCGAAATGTGTGGTGATTTCTGTCGATTACCGTCTTGCACCCGAGCATAAATATCCTACGGCCGTTGATGATTCGGCTGAGTCTTTGGAATGGGTTGTTGCGAACGGCCAAAAGGTGCTCGGTGTCGATACGACCCGAATTGCCGTTGGAGGTTCCTCAAGGTCATCTCACCCGCGGTTGTGTCAAGAACCAGTGGCTGATGTTCACCAGCGGCGGCAACCTAGCGGCGATTTTGGCTCTCAAAGCGGCACAGCGCTCTCCGCCGATTCCCCTCCTCTTTCAGTTGTTGATCGTTCCCGTTACGGACAACACGGCTTCCGTCGACGACTTGTGGAAGGAAAATGCGCTAACTCCGTGGCTAAGCCCAGAACGTATGATTTGGTTCCGGAACAACTATTTGCCCAACAAAGACGATCATACCAAATGGGATGCATCTCCCATCTTCGCGCCAGATGAGCTGCTTGCCAAAGTCCCCAAGACGTGGATCGCTGTCTGCGAGGCTGATATTCTCTGTGCCGAAGGCATCGCGTACGGGAGAAAATTGTCTGAATTGGGTGTACCGACACACACCGAGATCTACAAGGGAGCACCTCACCCGATCATGGCAATGGATGGTGAGTCCGGGCTTGTCAATCCAGCAGTTCCAGCTAATTATGGTTGCAGGGTATGTAGCCTGGCCTCCACATTTCATTGCTGACCAGAAGTCTCCAGTGTCCTCAAAATTGGCGCAAAGATGGTCGCAGATGCAGCTGCAGCCTTGAGCGAAGGACTCGGAACCGCTTAATCACAGAATCAGATGAATTCGATGGTAAGTAGTGCAAAAATACAAGGCAAAGAAACTATCAAGGAGCTTGTCGGCGTGTCCCGGGCAATGATCCCAGGGGAGGTTGGACCATGCCCTGGAGCCTTGGCTTGTTGAAGCTATTCGCTGGGATTGGAGGAGAAAGTCTCGGGGAGTGTCCCATGTGCAAGCTGGAACCATAGATCTGATGCTCCATAACTCGGAGTTGAGGTTGTGCCGGGAGTAATCCCAACAAGACTCGTAGTTGCTCGTTTTCTTTTTCGAGGCGCCCCAGTTCGATCTCTCGTTCCAGTGCATAGTCCGCGCCCGTCACGTCGGGCGCTGACCACGGCTCCCGTGCAGCCAAAGTCGTCCACGGTTCACGATCTTCTACTGTGTCCGGAGGAGTGGTGTCAACTTGACTCGAAGAGATCGATGCATGGTCAGCAGGTTCTCCGTTTTGTTCTCGAATGAGCTGCCGAAGAACATGCGCTAAGCGCCGGAGAGAACCATAGAGCGCGGTACTCGTTGCCAGGTCTTGAGAATCGCACTCCTCCTGACGCGCAGCCAACCTGGATTCGTACTCGCGGGACAGAGCAAGCTCACGTTCCTGCACGTCTTTCTAGTATTCAAATTAGACAGTGCGGCGACTAAACAGAAGAGAACATACAGCACGGTTCCTGAAGGTGCCTAGTCAGCAAATGTGAGTATTGTGAGTATGGCGTCGCGTATGGTGGGGACGCACTCATGAAATTCTCCAACGTCTGTTCGTATTCGCGAATCAGCCCATTCAACTGCTTGTTGTCCTGCAGCAACGAAATGTTTTCCAGCATCATGGTGTTGTTCATTCGTTCCAATTCCGCGTCATAGATATCTGCGTTATACTAGCACGATTGCTCTGTATGAAAGGGTACAGTTCACTGCTCAGACACCAACCTTTGGGTTTGTCTTGATTGAACCTGGGTCAAGGTATTAGGGTTTCCCTTCTGATAGGATTGCGGCCATAGGACTCACCGCCTTAGAACGAATCCCGTTTGAGAGTGAATAGCTTGCGCCTGAAAAACGTATTTGAAAAACGACTGGGTCAACACTGAGGTATCACTATACCTTAATCCCCCCTGCTTGCTGATAGATTGTCGCAGAAACGTCGCGATTTTGATTGAGCTGTTCGCTGAGTTCGGTGACAAGGCCCCATAGTTTCATCAGCGTAGAATCCTGTTCCGCATTGTCGAGGATAGTCATATTGCGTGTTACACCACCGTCGGCGGCTGGCGATGACGGATGAGCTCAAGAGAATGATCGGTCACGTGTTGGCGTCGTCACTCTCTGAATTACCGGGTTTCTACTCAATCCTTCGGCTTTACTCGATAAACTCTAGCTGCTTTCAAGCCGCGCAGCTCCTCCGGGTGATTCAAGACGTCATAGCTTCTTCGGTTCAGGTGCCGCACCGAACGGTTGCTGCAGGGATCCTTGTCCGTCATCTATTCTGCGCATGACGTTGCGTCCGCAGCCGAGGACCCTGCTTCTTCCCATCCTGCGCGTACTCAAACCGTGAACTCACCCAAGAAAGGCGAACTAACTCAAAATGTCCGAGTCGGGCGGTGCTGGGTCGCGTTACCAACAGCCGTGTTGACGGTTGCGGGGATGTGCACGATGGTCGCAGTCTTGGTGTCGGGGATGTCCATACACATGCAGTTGCGAAACTATCGCAAGCCTGCACTTCAACGGTGCGTCCGCTATGCTCTCTTTCTGGACCAACTGATCGAAAGTCTGCTCCAGGATGGTGGTCCGTATCATGGTTATGGTACCTCTATACGGGATAGCCTCTCTAATATCGCTCTTTTCCTTGCAAGGTGTGTATATCTATTTGCTGCAGAGCATTAATACTCAAATCTGAGCAGCCGCCTTCTTTATCGACGCGATTCGAGACGTTTATGAGGTCAGCCGCTTACGATATCTGGCAATCTCACATTGTTAATGAGAGATTGCAGGCCTTCGTCATCTACTGTTTCTTCGTTCTCCTGTTGTCCTATCTCGGGGGTGAACGCTCTCTCCTCATCATGATGCACGGAAGACCACCCAAGGATCCTGTTTTTCCCGTCAGTCTTTGGAAGCGGGAGATCGATGTCAGCGACCCGTACATGTTTCTATTCCTCAAACGGGGGATTTTGCGTCAGTAGTGGTAAAGCCATTGCTTGCATTGATTCTGATGTGTGGACAGAATATGTTCAAATCAAACCCATACTTGCCATCGTCACTATGATCCTCAAGGCGACCGGCAAGTACAACGAAGGCAACCTGCGCTGGGACTCTGGCTTCCTCTACATTAGTGTAATATATAATACCAGCATCTGCCTCAGCCTGTACTGTCTGGCTGTCTTCTGGATGTGTACAAACGAGGACTTGCTGCCCTTCCGGTCAGTCCTCGCACAGTTTGCATTCGAGTATACTGACAGATCATAGGCCTATGCCCAAATTCCTTTGTGTTAAGGGAATCTTGTTCTTTTCCTTCTGGCAGGCGCTGTTTATCTCGATCCTTGTTTCTGCTGGCGCCATCAAACACCTCGGTCCGTATACCCGAGACGAGGACGAGGACACCATTGCGCTGGCCCTGACTGACCTCTTGATCTGCATCGAAATGCCCCTTTTCGCCATCGCCCATGCATATGCGTTTTCTCACACGGATTTCATTGACCGAGATGCAACATTTGTCGCCCGGATGCCAATGTTATATGCGATGCGAGATTCGTGTGGGATGCTCGACGTCGTTGCCGACAGCAAAGCCACGCTACGGGGCGAAGGGATGGATTACCGGGCTTTTGAGCCTAGCGAGGGTTATATGCACCAGGGCGAAGGGAGGGACCGGAGAATTCGGGCCGGCCTCCGTTACGCAGATGGGGGGAGGCGCAAGTATTGGCTGCCACAACCTGCCGAGAATACCCAAGTCGGAGGGGGAGGTGTGCGTCGTATCGTGGACGGTCTGATTGGCCAAAGGGACAGTCTGGATGATGTGCATGCACCATTGATGGCACAGCAGGAGGAACGCGTGGTCACTCTCGCTCCCGATTTGGTTCAACATGACAGTGAAGACAACATCTGGACCAGTAGTGACGACGGTGACGGGTATTCGCTGCCATTTGGAGACGCAGATGCACTCGGGGACGAAGAACTGTTCCGAGTCAGTCGCAGCTTCGTCTTCGGCGACTATAACTACCCGGTCATTGATGTCAGCTCTGAGCAAGCTCGAACGCAGATCTGGGACGAGGAAGAGCGCGTACTCAGAGACGAACGTGGGGCTTGGTTCTCTCCAATCCGGGGTCCTGCTGGTGTCCAGGCCTCTATCGATGCTCGTCAGCATCCTCGTTGGAACGGCTACGGTGCAGTTGGCCAGACTGGAAGCCGTCCAAATGCCTCGTCTCCGCTCGCAACTTCATCCAGAGAACGACTGGTCGACCACAGCGAAGGCCTGAGCCAGAATCAGGAAGGAGCAGATGATGTCAATGTCCGTTTGCGATGGACCAAAACGCATGCACCCAGCACTTCTCGCACAAACTCCGGCGCTCCGAAACCTGCTGCCAGCGCGGGCAGTCCTCCCGGCTCCCGCCATGACTCAGTTCTACCGCCAGATGCGGTGGATCTTGTTGTCGAAGACCCCCAGAGTCCCGGGAACTCTGGGCTGAGAAACATCTACCGGCAAGGCCTTGTCCGGGAAGACTCGCATGGCCGCAGAGTCGAAGGAGAAGTCGAAGTGACGGACATGCGTTCCCGGCCAAGCACACCGACGAGGATAGATATCGGCGAGAAAGTTTCGGAAGCTGTGCGGGAGGGCGACGATGCCGAGGTTGTGGTTGCGCGAGTTCAGACACCTCCGGCTCATGCCCAGCTTACTCCTAGTGGTTCGGAGGATAATCCGTGGGCGTAGTTGGATTTCCCTGCTACGTCTAATTTGCCTTTCATCTGTTACCCTTATCTCTCATACACACATTCGATTGTATTCTCTTAGTACATCAACTTTGTACCTGTTTCGGTTCTTCTGTTCTATCTTACACATGTGCTCTAGAGAGCGGCAAGGACTGCAGATGCGCCGCTGACAGTGACCCCCGCGCCCTGTTCGACCTGCACCAACGTGAGCCGATCTCCGAGCCAGAACCACCGAGGTGACATACCTCGACGTATTTGACCACGAGATCGTCTATAATCATCGCATAGCGAGCAGTGCGGACACCGAGGCCCTTGTCAGTGAGATCTAGGGACAAGCCGAGGCTGGCCGACCACTTCGCATAGGCGTCCGAGAGAGGGAGGATCTTCCATCGCGCATGAGTAACAGAATGACAATGCCCCTGGACCGGTCAAGGCGTACCTTGTCCTTGAGATTTTCGAAACGTGCCCAACCACTCATGACGAAAAGATCGTTGGCGGCAACCACAGCGATGACGTCGACGCCCTTCGCCTTGAGCTCGTCGTACTTTTGGATGTACTCGGGGAGATGGCTGACGTGACAGGTGGGCTTGGGTAGGTAAATTCAGCTCGATCGCCGGTCCCGAGCATAGGGCAAAACTCACAGTAAACGCGCCGGGGACGGAGAAGAGGACAACCTTCTTTCCTTTCCACTCATCGGTGCTGAGCTTGCTGGCTGATTGCGCATCTTGTGAGCCCTTACGGAGTCACGGATAAGTCGGTTCACTCACGCATTCCGCAAGCAGACTAGAATAGCGTTGCGAAGGTAATCAGAGGTCGTGCCCCGGACGGCGATGGTCAAACAAGACGTACGTGATCATCGAGCTCTGGGGCGTACGGAATATATCCGAACTCGCCCTTGGGGATGGTATCTCCGACCTTGATAGTGGGTGCCATTAAAATGCGATGAGTCGATCTTGTTACTAATAGTAAGTTGGAAAGGTTCAGAACTCTGAGCAGCTTGCTTATATAGCCGATGATCTTATCGCTCCCATCACTGGCGTGATCGATAATCACATGGACTTGCGTGCGGCAACCGGGAACGAGCACCGTAAACAGAGCAGGAAAGCCACGGTTATAGGTTCCCCATCGGAACCCGGTTACATCTGGAAGTACCCGCCGTCGTCCACTGCACAGTGACTCGTGCAGTCTTCAAAACACCCCAAGTTCTGGGTCTCGGTAGTGCTTGGCTTTGCAATCCTTGTGCGCCCGTCATAGCTTCCGGCCGGCTTCCTTGTTCCCGCCAGCTCGGAGAACTTGTGGCCGGTTCAGTATGTTGTCCTTTCCCACAAGCCTCTCCCTTCCATCGGCCCCCGGCATCCGATCAGCCAGTTGACAGAAAGTGTCAAGCAATGTCAACCGTCCGCGTTTGCGAGTAATTATCTCGGAAGAGACTTGAACACTGCTCTCTCCACCTCAGTATGTCTCACGCACCTACCAGTAGCAGCGCTGGGAGGCGACAATCTTGAACTACGGATCAACATTCCATTCTTGCTCAACTCGCCTTCGATGGTCTTTCCTGACAGTAATTTGGTATCTGCTCTCGGATTTGCTATTCTGTCCGATATATTACTTTCTACAGAGCGGCCAGGACTGCGGATGCACCACTGACGGTGACCACCCCCTCGGCCTCTTCGACCTGCAGCAACATGAGCCGGATTCCTCGCAGAGACTACTGCGGTGACCCACCTCGACGTACTTGACGACTAGGTCGTCGATGATCATCGCATAGCGCGCAGTGCGGACACCGAGGCCTTTCCCGGTCAAGTCCAGAGACAGGCCGAGACTCGCTGACCACTTGGCATAGGTGTCAGAAAGGGCCAGGATCTTCCATTGAAAATGAGTCGCAGGGTCCTCGAATTGGTCAAAGTGTATTCTGTACCTTGTCCTTGAGATTCTCGAATCGTGCCCAGCCGCTCATGACGAACACGTCGTTGGCAGCAACCACGGCGATGACATCGACGCCCTTCGCCTTCAGCTCGTCGTACTTTTCCATGTATTCCGGAAGATGGCTGACATGGCAGGTGGGCTTGGACAGTCAGGTTAGTCTAGTCTATCTGGTCTTGTGCATTCGACAGAGCTTACAGCAAACGCGCCTGGCACGGAAAAGAGGGCAACTTTCTTCCCCTTCCACTCGTCAGTGCTTAGCTTGCTCGCTGATGGGATATCTTCTGAACACTCATGGAGTCACGAACAGGTCAATTTACTTACGGAATCCGCAAGCAGACTAGAACGGGGTTGGCTAGGTAAGTCGAGCCCTTCTCAGCGATGCATAAACAAGACGTGCATGATCATCCAGCTCTGGGGCGTATGGAATGTAACCGAATTCGCCCTTGGGGATGGTATCTCCGACCTTGATAGTGAGTGCCATTGAAGTACGCGGGGTTGACTTGAGATTGGATAATTAATTGGTTCATAGCGCTCAATGTCAAGCTTGCTTATAAAGGCGATGATCTCTTCAACTTGCTTATAGAGGCGCTGATCTCATCTTTCGCAGCACTCTCAGCATCTTATTAATGTTCAACTCAGCGATGAACACGTCCTCGGCCGATGCTTACATTGCACGGAGTGTTTTTTCAGGCATGAGACATTTGGTCAAGAGCACTGTTCACATGATGTCAGGAGCGATTTATTCCGAGTCATCACTCTGATCTCCCAGGAAGGCCATGATACTCTTCCGTGCATTGGTCTGCGAGTATATCAGAGGAGAGCGCCACCACAACAAGCGACACTCACCTTGCGTTTTGCTCCCAAATCTTCTTCCTCTGAACTTGATTGGTTTTCTTCGACTGCCGCCGCTTTGGCTCTCGAGCCTCTCGTTGCAGTAGCCGCCGCAAAACTCTGCACATCCTCTGCAATCGATCGCGTAAATATCTCGGTGCAGGGGAAGATGGAGTAGTTCACCAAGCTCCTGTTCAAACTCCCGCTTCTCCCTTATGGCTTTGGCCTTCTCCATGCTCAACCGGCCTTCCATACCCAACTCTTTCAGCATTCCCTTGAGCTGTCTGATCTGTTCAGCTGGACTGACGTCCTTGAAGATGCGGGCCCATTGTTTTCGCGTGCCACATGCTACGACAAAAGACTGGGAGTGTTCTCATAAGTTGACCTGACATTCACGGAGGCTGATCAAAAGCGAACCTTCAAGCGCTTGATTTCCTCGTCCTCCTTACTATCTCCACTGCTTGCGCTTGTTTTCTTGACGGTCCCAGAAGTAGACGGTTTCCTCGCCTTGGCTTTTGGCTTCTCCGAGTCGCTCTGTCAGCAGTAAAGATGATCAGACATATGATGGCACTCCGAAGTAACTCACGTCGGCAGAAAGTTCGGCTGACTGCGACCGACGGGGTTTCGCCTTGCGTTTCGAGGTTGACGATTTAGGGGGTTTGGACGTACTCGGTTGACTCTTCGGTTCAGTAGAGGACTGATAATCGTCAAATAAGAGATGAAAAAAGAGATATTCAGATCAAAGATGTTGCCCTATCATGTGTCCAAACTCACCTCATTGTCCGACTTGATCAAGTCAGCGTCCTCTGCATCTGAAGACATGACGACTTCCTGGGCCGATATTAGCCTCTTCGGCTGGTCCTATGTTGGAAGGACGTACCGATGATTTGAACTGTTTCTTCGAGGAATTATCCCTTGTTGCGGCAGGACGTGGTGGCTTGTGCGCAGTCTTCTGCTTCTTGGTAGGTTCCGAGTTTTCGGCCGGAGTTTGCGATTTCCTCTTCTTCGCAGGTGCCGGTGTCAGCGAATCTCCGCTATCGGCCTTCTCCTCGATCTCCTCCTCGTCGTTCTGCACCAGCGCCTGCCTGAGTGGATATATCCCACGACGAGCACGCGCGACGCACCACCGCAGCCGTGATCGCATTCTTCAGCGGCTTTCTGTATTCTGCGACGTCCAAACTTCCTTCGTCGAGCTCGAACCTGAGTTCGAGCTTCTGGCGGACGATTCGAGGTGTGAGGGAGCTGAGCGCCATGCGAGAATGTGATGAGTATAAGGTGAAGAACAGGCATGAGGGGATTCACCTGAGAGAGCCATCCCTGCGGGCTTCGTTGACCACATCCCTTGCTGCCTGCTCAAGTTCTGATATCGAGGGAACGGACATGACAGTAGCGCGTCGACAAGGTTGATACAGTGGGCCGCGCTTCGTGTTCACGGTAACGTGACATGTGGATGGGTGGTATTATGTAATATGCAGCGACTGGGTTGTCCTTACTACTGATACCGAGGGGCAAGTTCTATCGGGAAACGCGCTGTCAGTTAGTATACGGGCTGCGGATCGTTATGCTCAGATGAAGCAGAACGAAGGGCTCCTATTACAACTGGTCTAGTATTAAATAGAAAGTCCGTGGTACATTAGATAAGTAGAGCGTTCAGGGTCTCTGGCCCTGCGTCGTGGACATGGCCTCTGCCGAGTACGGGTCGTAGTGGCCGCTCATTCCTGTCGCGCTGTCTCGAGAAGACGATGCAAAGTCGGTGTAACGCTGCATCGGCGGAGTGAATTCCGCCGGATCGTCCTGGTACTGGTGCTCTTGCATAGGTGTCAACGCGTTCGTTGATCCACTATGCTCTCGCAATGCACCAGCAGCTCCAAGTCCCAACGCCATTGTGCTACCCGGAGCGGCGGCGTATTCGTAGGTTCGGGAAGGCGGGAGACGATCTTGCCGTCGGCGGCGGATGACCACCGCACCGATGATCGCTCCGAGGAGACCCAGTCCGACGACGGCACCAATCACACCTCCAACAATAGGGCCCACGTGCGACGAGGAAGTCGAAGAAGTCGAGGAACCAGAAGTCGTGGCAGGTGAGGAGCTGTTTGCGCCGGATGAGCCGCTGCCAGATGATGCTGCCAAAGTCACAATATCGGGCAGGACCACGGCATTCGAGACCGGCTGGGCTTCGATGTTGCCGCTGCCGACGATGACAGCCGTCCCATTGCTGGGTATTCCATTCACTACGACATAAACAAACGCAGGTCCCGGCTGTCCATTGTCAAATTCAGTCCTGGCCACGGGAAACCAGTCCGCACCTGGAAAAGGTTCGCATTGGGTGCAGCTTGTGACACGTGCAGAGTGATGCTCGAGTCACTGTTCACTGTGTACGTGTTATTCAGTTGCATGTAGCGCTGCCCCATGTTCATCGCATGGGTCTGGAAGAGGAAATCAGCAGCCCGTATCAGTCTAAACAGAGTGCGTACTGTCCATCCTGGCCGAACCAAAGCCACGGTCGTATTTTTCGCGGCATCATTGCCCGAGCCGGAATACGACGAACTCGGAAGAGTGACGTTGAAATAGTTGCCGCCGTAAGAGATGCTGGAAGGAATCCCGGTCGGCACTGGTCGGTTCGAGGCAGAAAAATACGGTGGATAGAAGATCTCAGCCTGGTACTGAGTCGGGAATATGGTGGTGACGTTGACGTCTACATTCGGATTGCTCCCAGCCACCAACACAGACGCGTCTGGAAGAAGCAGCGCCGTGGAATGATAAAGGCGAGCGATCGTTGACGACGCCAGGCCCGCATTCGACCATCGGCTTCCCGCAGGAGCTGCAGGATCGTAGATCGCTGGCTGACCGACTGGCCCAGCAGCCAGAGACATGCCGTAGGGAAGCTGCTTGCTCTGTCCAGTCGCAGTGGCATACCCCGCAGTTCCATTCAGACCACCGTTCAGAACAAGCAGCTTTCCGGTAGGAAGAATGATGAACTGCCCCATCGTCCGGGTCTCGAGCATGTCATCGTCCTTGACATAAGCAGGTGCGGATCCATCGGCCGGCTCAGGCGTCAGCCGCTGACAATCTCTGGAAGCAGGATAGTTGAAAGTGTCGATGGCTGGGAAACTGTAGTCTCCCCAGCTTTGGTCCGGCATGTCAGATCCTATGCATCTTTGTCAAAAGTCCAGAGGCAGGAATAGGAAGCCGCTTACCACCACAGAACAGGACAGTCTGGGAGTAATTGTTTGCCACAGTCATCGGAAGCATGGCAACAGCACCGCTCGCAGGATACACCCGCACAACTTGCCCCGGCATGTCGGGTAGGTCCTATGGAGCGCATTATGTTCCACTCGCGGAGGAAATGCGCATAAGGCCCACTCACTGTCTCGGTGTTGGTGTCCGCATTCCAGATCACTGTGGCTCGGGATCAGGAAAGCCATGCGGGACACTGGCCATGGATGCATACTGGTTGAGTAGTTCGCTTGCACGAGCAGATTTCCAGACGAGAGGAGGAAGGTATGTGCGTAGGCGTTCAGTCCTGAAGTCTTGATCATGAAATTCATGATCTGGGGTGTCTGTCCGTTGGACGGAAAGAATTCGTATGTTGGCTCGGCAGCGCCTCCCTCGTAGGTCGGATCGGTGTTCGGATAATTTCGATTCACGTAGCCGCCGTTCACGAACCCGCCAATTATCACGACAGTACCGTTCCCAAGAGGCTCAGCTGCGCTGTACCATCGCTTCTGTGACATGGAGAGGACGGCCTGAAATGGCCGTCAGTGTCGTGTCTGCGAGCAGGAGTTTTGAACGCACTGGATCGTCGAACCACTGGCATGCTGTCGACCGTATGTCCTGGGTGTCTTCGCAAGGTGTCAAGACCCGGATCGACTTCGCTCCATCGAAGTCTTGGTACGTTGCGTCCCAGGCACCAGAGGCACCGCCAGGGTTCACCTGAGATCCGATGTTTCCCCCAGGACCAATAGCGCCATTCCCGCCGAATGTGACAAAGCTGCCGTTAGGAAGATGCATTCCGGACGCACAGAACGAGTTGGTGGCGATATCCATGATGTCAACCTTGTGTGTGTCGATGTCCCATCGTGAGCCCCACGCCGGGTGTCCGTTTATTGCCGCAGCATTTCCTTCTGCCTTGTCCAATATGTAGACTTTTTTCGAGTTCCCGACGAACATCTGCGGTCATTAGAACAACAGGGGGCATGTGTCCAGCACAAGGCTCACCATCATCGCACTAACTTGCGTGTTGCCTCCATCCGCAAATGTTCCTCCAGAGATCGCATGAGCTACAGAAAGAAGGTGGAAGGACGACAGTAAAGTCGTAAGTCGTCGTAACATGATGGAACGTTGCGAAGGCCAGACTAGGTCGTGCCGGACAAGCACTTTGTGACTTTCCGCATCGCCACATCAAACATGATGTCATGAGCGTGATGGATGCAACGTTGCTGCAGACTTGAACCGTCAATCACGCCGTCAGTAGCCTCGATCAATATTCGCGACGTGACACGCTTCACGCCTCAGGAGAGTCGGATCGTACGCTTCGTACACTGTTGTTAGCGCGGCCATTGGTGTCCCTGCTCTTCCTTCACGTCTGTCTCGAGCTCTCCCGCTACCTGTCGAGCTGCACTCGACTCGAACGAACGGCGGGCAATACTCCGGTTTGCGTCTTCGTGCTGTCACGTCCGTCGGCGACCAAATTCCTTCTGCGGCTCGGATCTTGTGCATTTAACACGCGGACTGTTACCGTGACCGTGGCGGCTGCGTGGAGACCATGAAGTCGGTTTCTCGTCACGTCCGCGCCAAATTTCCCATCGTCGTCGGTGTCCGACGCGAGGACCCACCCGGATCTGGGAACGCCGAAGTCCTCTCACCCCCGACGCTGTTCGTCGACTCGTGTCTGAGCGCAACGTTGAAGTTCATGTCGAACACTGCGATCGCAGAGTGTTTCTTGATCATGAGTATGAAGAGGTTCGTGCACTGTTCTCATCGTGCCCCCGATACTCCTTCCCACACACCCAGTACCATTCCATAACCAACCATCCCGCGATACTGACGGACGAGCGCATAGGCCGGTGCTGTCATCAAGCCAACCCTCGAAGACGCGCAGATCATCGTGGGCATCAAGGAGACACCGCTGTCTGAAGTCATCACCAGTCCGGCGCGCGACAGCGCTGGCAGGGAATGTGCCCGCACCCATTTGATGTTCTCGCACACCGCCAAAGGCCAGACGTACAATACCGGGCTGCTGGCCAAGTACGTGGCGTCGCATCCCGGCGGCGATTCCCTGCTTCCTAGGCTGATCGACTACGAGTATCTCGTGGGGTCGAATGGCAAACGCACTGTTGGGTTCGGGTTCTTTGCTGGCGGTGCGTGGTTGATGCTGGTTCTCGCGGATTGTCTTGGCTGATCCAGGGCCCTAGTCGCTGGCGTCCTTGAATCGTTGTCTGCGATGGCCCACTCGCATCTGGAAATGGGGGTCGCATCTCCCTTCCTGGTCTGTTTTGCCCTTTTGGGCTCAGAATCATCCTCAAATCTTGCTTCCAGTACACTCCGCGTCCTCACACTTTACCATCGCTTACTCGCTTGCGCACTTCCCTGCGTGATATAGGGGGCAGCATCCGCAAAGATGGGACCCCGGAACGCCTCGGACCTTTTATTGTAGGGCTCACAGGGTATCTGGCTTGCAATACCGAATAGCACCCCTCCTGAACAACCCACGCAGAACAGGAAATGTAGCGCAAGGGTGTCTGTCTATGTTGAAGGAACTTCCTATCCAGCGGGTTTCGGTCGATGCGCTGCCCGAGCTTGTCTCTGGCGATAGTGCGTAAACTTTTGAGCGATTGATGCCCGTGCTGAAATGTGACAGAGCACGATCTTCGCAAGGCAAGCACTGCACCTGTAAAACGGCTTGCCTCCTCTCAACTGAAGCTTAGATATACCTGGTCCATGCTACAGCCCAGGACTATCTCCGTCGACTCGATGGTGCTCCCTACGACCGGTCTGATTATTACGCGAATCCTGGCCAGTATCAATCAATATTTGCATCCAATGTTGGTGGTCTTCGATGCAGTGAAGCTCGCCGCTAACTTTACCATGCGAAGGTCGCTCCGTATCTTACCTTGTTTCTAAATGGAGTAGGATGGGGGCCCTCGTTCCCCCGGCTCATGTCCAACTCGGACCTTGCCAGCGCACTCACGAAAGCCAAGGCGATAGGTGGCTGCCGCTTCGAGAACATCGGCGACATCAGCTGTGACCCGGCCGTGCGTGGTTTCCTTGTACACACCTGTCGCCGCCTTACGTTAATAGGGAGGACTGGAATTCATGCCTCGTTCCAGCACTATTTCAGAGCCATTTTACAAAACGCGTCCCTCAGGATTACCTGATCACCTTCCGGATGTCCAAATTATGGGCGTCGACATTTTGCCTGCCACCATTCCTCTGGATGCGTCATTCGAGTTTTCGCGAGCGCTGTTTCCATATCTGGAAAGCCTGATCGAACAGTATCAGACCGGAAAAGCTGGCAAGCTAGAATCTCAACTGAAAGGTGCAACCATCGCGCAACACGGAAAGCTGCCCGAGAAACACTCGTGGCTGCAAGAAAATCTCGACACTTTTTTGACGAGCAAAGCCAGTCAAGATTCGCCAGGTGCTCTCCGGCGCAAGAAGGTTTTGCTGCTCGGGAGTGGGATGGTTGCTGGACCAGCGGTGCAAAAGATAAAAGAGAGGACGGATATCGACCTATTGATTGGTGATCGTGCTTTCCTGGGCTGGTAGAGCTGAGCTAAGATGCCGCAGCAAGCAACTCTTCTCAGGAAGCGAGCGCTCTCTCCGACCGTTTCGGAGTCACCAGTCATATTCTGGATCTGCAAGATGAAACCAAGGTCGCGTCCCTCATATCCGAGGCTGACGTTGTCATTAGGCAATGTCTTTCATCTCATGATGCGGCGAGGACTAATGTCCTTTTTGCAGTCTTCTGCCTGCTCCTCTGCATCCGGCGATTGCGAAGGAGTGCATCAAGCACAGGAAGCATCTCGTCACAGCATCCTACATCTCCCCTGAGATGAAGGAGCTCCACGCGAATGCCGTTGAAGCCGATGTATTACTTCTCAACGAAATCGGCCTCGACCCCGGGATCGACCACTGCTCGGCCATCTCTTTGGTCTCAAAATTGCAGGCCGAGGGAAAGAACGTGACTTCGTTTACATCCTTTTGTGGTGGGCTTCCGGCCCCGGACGTCCCGAAGGTTCCTCTGCAGTATAAATTCAGCTGGAGTCCTCGGGGTGTGTTGACTGCGGCATTGAATTCGGCTACGTACATGCTTCGCAATCAAGTCAGTGCTGTGTTGTGTATGCCCCGTGTGACTGCCGTCGCTCATCGAGGTCTTGTCCAGGTCACAACAGTTCCCGGCACAGATCTCTTACGCAGCGTCTTCCCACGAGTTCCGATATCAGACGACTTGCTGCTGGAGGGACTTCCAAACCGCAACTCTCTTCCCTATTCGGACACATATCAACTGGGCCAACCCCGGACTGTGCTTCGCGGGACGTTGAGGTTAGTGGCAGAATCCGTTTCTCAACGTTCTCTGTTCATAATCGCCAGATATCCTGGTTTCTCGCGGCTCATGGAATTGTTCCGCTTGGCCGGCTTCTTGAGAATGGATCAGACAATCGAGCTTTCTTCATGGCGGGCATTCACATCGCAGTGCATGGCCCTGCCCAGGACAGAGTCTCTTCCCGATCGTGTGGATGAAGCGGACCTCACCGACATGTTTGCCGCAGCCCATTGGCTGGGCTTAGCCGATTCTTCTGCTGGCTATGGCGAGTGGCCCTCTCCAGATGTCGCTTTACCTGCCGTCCCTCGAGGAAAACATACGCCCCTGGATCTATTTGCGTTTGCGCTTTCACATAGTTTGCGATATCTTCCCGGGGAGCAGGACATGGTGGTTCTGCTGCACGAGGTGATTGCTCAGAAGCCGGGGATGCCAGAGGAGATCCACCGGTCGTCCCTCGTTGCTTACGGGAATTCTCAAGCCTCAGCCATGGCGCAGACAGTGGGGATTCCGGTCGCCATTGCGGCTTTGAACGTGCTGGATGGGAAGGTGTCCTTGCGCGGTGTCGCAGGCCCCACTGAGCCTGTCATCTACAACGCAGTATTGACAGGAATGGAGCAAGTAGGCCTGGGGATGAAAGAAGAGCTGTTTGTCGGCCAGACAATCGAGGACTGTTTGATCCAGGCCTAGGGACTCTGCTATAGGGACATCGTTGTCCGTAATGTACCACGTTGTTTACCAAAATACGTTTTCGGCCGACGCTTTGATGCTATCGGGCACTACCCCGATTCTCGTGATGGCTTCATCCTTCAAGGTCGCACAGACCGATGCCGCTAATCGCGTCGTACGACGCGTTCTTTTCCACCCAGAGTCTCTAAAATCCGCCCGCTTATCCACAGGTGATCTTGTGGTCATCTCCGCGGCAGATTCCAAGGTCAGCCATCGCCTCCGTATCGCTGAGTCGTAGTGGACAAGATCGAACAGGACTTGACGATCGGAATCGCTTGGGCGTCTGCAGAACACAACCTAGAATGTGCGCGTCCACTGAACTTTTGAATTGGTCGGTCGGTCTCACAGGCGTCTGCCAGCCATTTCCTTGTCCCGTCTTTGCTCCTCACGGCGAACCTACAGCCAGGACAGTCAGCGCATGTCTATCCCGTCCCGAGAACTGCGGCAGCGAACAACCCTCTCGAATTGCCCCTGGCCAGCCAGATACCAGACATCGCGGAAGTGCGATTGCAAGAAGTCCGTCGCGGTGAAGATGTACCCGTCGGGGCGGAGCCCAAACGGAGCGACTGGTTGAGGCTTTTACTCAGGGAAGGCTTAGGCGCGTCCGCGTCCTCTCACTATCTCATGGCTGATCTGACCGCAGCTCTAGTCGATCTCAAGTACATTACTTCCAAGCAGATTCTCGAAGTTTCGTATGAGCAGCGGATCCGCCGATACCGAGTACAAGAGCCAGAAAACATCGAGATGAAGCTAAGCTCTCTTTCCCTCGATTCCACCCCTCAGATCTGGTCTGTGAACTGGGATACGGTCGTCACTATCGTTCCTGAATCTGCCAGCGACGTAGGTGATCATCCGACTCGATCCCTGTCCTCTTATGCCGACACAGAAAGTATTCGAGGAAAACGAGCAAGAAGTCGCCTACGGCTCTGTCGGTGGACTCGACAAACAGATATCACAGATCCGGGATCTGCTCGAAATTCCACTGACGCGACCGGAGCTTTTCAGGCACTTTGGTATGTATACGACAGGCGGGAGCGCCCACAATGCAGTTTACTCGGAATCAGGTCTGAAGCCTCCACGCGGGATTTTACTGCATGGACCACCGGGCACCGGCAAAACTCATCTGGCCCGGGCGATCGCAGCGTCGACCCAGTCGTCTGTCTTGGTGGTAAACGGGCCCGAGCTGTCCTCCGCCTTCCACGGGGAGACGGAATCCAAGCTACGGGATGTGTTCAAGGAGGCTCATGCGAAAAGCCCGTGCATCGTTGTCCTGGACGAAGTCGATGCTCTGGTACCCCGCCGCGAGGACGGTGCTGGGGGCGAGGTTGAAAAACGGGTCGTCGCCACTCTGTTGACACTGCTCGACGGGATGGACAGTGGCGAGGAATCCAGAGTGGTGGTCATCGGGACGACGAATCGACCAAATGCGATTGATCCTGCTCTGCGACGGCCAGGTCGATTTGACCGCGAGATCGAAATCGGTGCGATCTGATTCCGGTCCGATTCTGGCAGGCTGACGATTCGAAGGGGTCCCTGATGTGGAGGCGCGATATCTGATACTGCAAGTTCTGCTGACGAAAACACCACACTCAGTGTCGGACGCTCAACTACGAGCCATCGCATCCCGGGCCCACGGATATGTGGGTGCAGACCTAGGCGCCATGGTCAGAGAAGCGGGAACTATTGCAATCAAGCGTTGGCTGGCAGGCGGAAGCAAAGGGACACTCACGCTCTCCCCTGAAGACTTGGAGACGTCAATGCCCCTGATTCGACCCTCTGCTATGCGATCTGTGTTTGTCGAGGCACCTCCAGTAACCTATTCTCAGATCGGGGGCCAAGCGCCTGTGATCCAGAAACTTCGTGAAGCTGTCGAATGGCCTTTACTTCATCCGGAGAGCTTCCAGCGTCTTGGCGTTCGTCCTCCCAAGGGTGTGCTCTTGTATGGTCCCCCTGGTTGCAGCAAAACAGTCTTGGCACGGGCTTGTGCCCACGAGTCCGGTATCAATTTCATCGCTGTCAAGGGTCCTGAGGTCCGTATTCTGGATCGCTTGAGATCCTTCTCACTGTGTGTCCAGGTGCTCAACAAATTCGTGGGCGAGTCCGAGCGAACAGTCAGGGAAATCTTCCGGAAGGCGCGGGCTGCCTCACCAGCCATTATTTTCTTTGTGAGCGGGAAACAGCTGCGGCACGGGCTCATTGACCCGGAGGCTTTCAGGACGAAATCGACGCTCTTGCCACCTCGCGTTCATCTGACAGCGACGCCGGTTCATCCCACGAGGGTGTGCTGACCAGCCTCTTGAATGAGATGGATGGGGTCCAAGAACTCGTCGGAGTGACCATCCTCGCTGCGACCAACCGACCGTACGCAATCGCAAGTATCTTTTCCCATCCTCCGCGAGGACAACACTAGAATGAACGTAGGACTCTGCATTGATGCGTCCAGGACGTCTGGATCGCTTGCTATATGTCGGACCGCCAGATCAATCAGGCAGGGAGGAAATCCTGAAGATAAGGATGAGATCTATGAGCATCTCCTCCGATGTCGATGTTGGCGAGATTGCTCAAATGGCCAGTTTTCCTATATCTATTTGTGCAAGTCGCTCACGCCTGACTTGTCTTAGACGGCTGGATGCTCAGGCGCAGAAATCACAGCTCTGTGCCAAGAGGCTGCCCTGCTGACTATGCGAGAGGACATGGAAGCACAAGCCGTACGGACTTCCTTGGCCAGTCACTGTCCTTAGTTCTGATCTTTCTGCAGGTCCCGCACGCAGCGTTCGTGAAAGCAAGCCTTGAGATAAAACGCCAGATCACAGCAGACGTTCTCCTCAAGTTCGAGCGATGGAGAGCATCCTTGTAGCGTAGCAGCCTTGTCATCGTTGTTGTAGGATCACGGCACGTCCACAAATCAGGGAATGTTTGTTACCGCTTGAAAGATCGCCCTCATCACCGCGGCGAAAGTACCCTCCTGCTAATAACGATCATGGCCGAAGTGAAAGGCAAAGCCCCCATACCACCTATGCCTGGACCCGCTTCTGGGAGCGCGAACCCTGCTGCGTCATTATCTGCACTCTGGGCGTACCTTCTTCCGGCCCTCAACCACATCGTCAAAAGCCCTGTGAACTCGGACAAGCCTCGCGCACCTGCAATCGACATGGCGTTCTATGCTGGGATTCACACTGCGTGTTACAACTAGTTCGTGTGGCACAAATCCCGCATATTGACGCCTGGTGTTCTGATTCATCGCGATCAGCTTCACCGCGCAGTCTGAAGCCAAGCCGCCTCCCTCTCGCTCTTCCACCGAACCTGCCAGCGGCACGGACCTGTACGAGCAACTAGACAAGTATTTCATGGAGACGACACGCGAGATCATGCTGGGGGCTCCACACGACGATGCTACTCTGATTCAGTATATTGTCCCGTGTTTCAACCGTTTTTCTGCGGGTGCCGTCTCTGTCAACCGCCTCTTAAACTACGTCAATCGACACTATGTCAAGCGCGCGGTGGACGAAGACAAGGGCTGGCTCCGGCTCAGCGACGTTCTGGAATCTGTTGCCAAAACTATCTACGCTGACGACACACGAGAGAAGGTCTCCGAGAAGTTGAGAGAGAAGAGAATAGAAGAGCTAACGAAGTGGGGCTACAAGACAGATGGTACGGGTACTCCAGCGGCGGCCGCTGAGGCCTGCGCAGAAGCCGCTAGTCCACTAGACCGAGTCGTACCGGTGACTGCCCTGGCCCATCGACGATTCCGTACGGAAGTCATCGATCCTCTGCTGTCGGTTCCAGCTGTCAAGGGCAAGAAGAGCAAACACAAGACGCCCAAGGCTGGCTCGGCGCCCCCGACACCTAAAGGTCGGCTGGCCCGGGCCGTGAAAGAGCTGCTCGAGGGGGAAGGCGGTGATGAAGCGGAGAAGACGAGGCTGGCGACGGATCTCTCTGCAGCGCTGCGCCTGATCGGAATCCGTGTCGACCACCCATTGCGCAAGCGACTGGACAAATTTATCGCGTCCCAGTCGCCTGGAGCCTAAAACACCATGGAGCTAGTTAACGTTCCATTTGTGTAGCTCTGAAGACGGGCCCATTCGAGTAAGACCGCGGCAAAATAACAGTCATTTTGAGCGTCTGTGACCACTCGTTGTCTGAACAGTTTACCCGTCTCCTGGATGCGCCGAGCCTCGTCGTCATGCGCTTTCGCCCATTCCACCTTTTCGACGAGGTCGGATAAATCCGGTTTGACAGGTATATAGTGCTCGTTGGGACGGATCCAGCCGTCGAAATACTCTTCAAACACGTTGGACTGCGAATCGAATGGTGGTCAGTGCAAATGGACATACCGAGTTGCCGCGATCTGACCTTGAATACCAGGGAACCCGAGCCCAAAAGGGCCAGGAATCGGCCAGAAAACGTGTTCCCGCTTATGTCCAGAAGGTATTTGTAATTTAGGACGAGCTCCCGTAGATCCTCGTATTTCCCGGTGATGTTGTATTCGGCAATGACGCGCTCGCGATCGCATCCCTCAGTGCAATGACCCCCGTCGAAAGTGGTCATCCGGGCGTCGATTAATTCGGAATGATTTCGCGCAAGTTGGATCAGATGGAAGCGGGGAAATGAATGGTAATTGTCAGCGAAGATGTGACCGCCATTGGAGGATCCACGCCAAACTAAGGAGACAAAACGAACGTTCAGATGTCGTCGCGGTTCTGGAGACTGCGTGCACTCACAAAGCTGCTGCTTTTTCTCAGCCCATGGGACGTTGTCTTCGGCTATCCTCATTGACCATCGGGAAGCCACGTAGTGATACTGAGTTCGGGGTAAGGCGCAAGGCTTGTCCGAGCGCGGATCCTCTTACCGGGCTAGGATACAAGATGTCTGAGAAGCAAGGAGATAGCTTGGTCATACTCAGGAGTGGCCAGAAATCTGTAGTGAAATCGGTGCTCGAGCTAGATTGCAGGACTGCATGAGAGGTTCAGAATTGAGTGGTGCTTGGACGGTGCCGCTCGTACATGATATGTTGTCGCTTTCATCCTTGAGGAAACCGGGCGCGGTGCTCGAGATATTGCAGCCACTTTGGTGCTTGAAAAACTTGGCCGTCGGACGCGGAGCGTTGTGGAACGGGGTCGCATCTTTGATTTCGGCTGCGGTTTGCTGTGAGCCATGCCCGCGATAGTTGAACAGCACGCGTGGTTCATCGCGACCATTCAGGAGAAATTCCATGTCCGGCAGAAGATGGGTGAACTGGAATGAGGATCAGGCGCAATCCCAGCATGTTTCCATGTACACACGCTGCGCAATCTCATCGGCAGGTCGAAACTATACGTGGTGGCCTGGTAGGGAGGCATTTGCAGTTTCCCGTTGGTAATGTTGATGGCAGCCATTCCCACAGCGGCTTGTTGCTTCGTCCTTAGTCCTTTCATTTCTTCAAGAAGCTGAGGTACTTGGTCACGATCCCAGTATCATTTCAACGCGAGGAGGCACACAATGCTCACCATATATCGCCCCTTGTCTATCATGCGTTGGAAGTGAGAAGGATGTTCCTGAGCCAGCTGATAAAATGGCTCGAAATCTCGATAGATTTGCTCGTATTCGTCGATCAAACACTCGTTTTCTCGAGCAAACTCAAACCATTTATCGAACCCTGTCGGCGTAGAACGTCCAGATTTCAAGACATAGCGGGCTTCGGCCTGAGCGAGAGTCGTGGATTGTCTGGATAGTAGTTCATCTAGTTTCATTTGTGCGAATTCCGAGGGAGTAGGGTGGGATAGGGTGTCAATAGTGTGCTCATCCACTAGTGCTACTTCGATCATGGGAGCTTTGCGCACGGTCGGTAAGAAAAGCCATGAAGCCAGGCCTGCTGCATGGAGAACAAGGAGCACAAGATGGAAACGCCTGGAGCGCAAGAAAAAGTAGATCATCAATGGCGTTGAAAGAGAGAAGATGCCAGTGTCATCCATTAGCGGCGCACGCGCCAAGGCAACCGTGACGGTGCGCCGAAAAGGCTCTGGTACTATTCTTCAACTTCACAGACCCCCCTTGTGTAGTATTCCATATCGACTCTCGCGGTATTAGTCTCCAGCTGTAATACAGAATGGAGTATGGAGTAAACACTAGAACGTCGCAACTTGTGGAATATGGAAGGACGCAGATACATCCAATCCTGCGGCGATCGACATCACGTCTCAAAGTTCGGTAGAGATAGTTTCAGGCCCTCCGTTTCGCCATTTGCACAGTGAGATTGTCGATGTACATTTGCAGTGTTTCGTTGCCAGAAGTCAGCTTTTCCACTTCCTTCTTCACGGTTTGAACACGATCAAGGATGGCTGGCAAAGATGATGGGATGGGGAGTTCAAAGGACGATGGAAGTCACAGACTGCGAAGATCTTGTTGAGAGGCTACGATGTCCCTGGACTAAAGCATGAAGATATGACCGTTGATGTGAGAAAGCCGCCAACTTGAGGAGCTGCTCCTTCTTCAGAGCGTCTTGGAGCGGATCACTTGCCACCGTTTGTGAAGATGTTCCCCATGCATCCTCCATAGGTGCAGTTAACAAGCCTCGGGCTGACTGGGTGCGTAGTACAACAGAGAGAGACAGCAAGTGGGATTGACAGCTGATGTATTGATGGGAGAGGCGCTGACGCGTCGCGTTGAACTCATTCCTTCATCACTCGGAGCCACGATAAAATGCAAACACTACTCGCTCTCAAGGCTGGCCGCGCCTTTCGTAATGGCAATTCGAATCTGGTGGAACCCAGCCCCGTCAAGGGCGCCCTTGTTCTGATCAACGGGGAAGATGGACTGTTCCACTTTACCTGGAAGAATAGAGCGACGGGCGTGGTAGACGAGGTTTGTGAGCGTACTGGTTTGATTTGACACTGGATCTTACTTCTACAGGATCTGATTCTATTTCCCTCCGATGCCTCTTTCGTGAGGGTACCCCAAGCATCTGGTCGGACCTATGTCCTCAAGTTCTCTTCGTCCGACCAGAGACACTTTGTACGCTTTCTCAGCCTTCGCTTCGAGAATTGATTTCTCAGTCGCGCTCCGCTCCAGTTTTGGTTCCAGGTACTGCTTGTCTTGTTACTGCCCACCAGTTCTTGACCGCGCGTCAGGACGCGTCAACTACCAAAGATGACGATTTTGTCGCTAATATCAATCGCCTGCTGCAAGACCCCGAAGCCGAGTTGTCGTGGACCCAATCGGACGCGTCGAACGTTGCGGGAGCTTCGAGCTCCACGTCGACGAATGCGCCTTCCTTGTCAGTCCCCCGCCAGTGATTGACTGGGCCTCTGCGTTTCCCTAACCATCCACCAGGGCGACTGCATCCTTGATCGATCCTGAGCAGCTGGCTCAGTTGCAGGCTTTGCTGGCTGGAAACCGTGCGACTAGTGGTGCACCAGGTCTGCTAACTGTGTCGGATCTTCACATTCAATTTTGACCGTCTTTCAGACATGTCCTTGTCGGATATACTCACTCCTGCAAACCTCACGCCTCTGTTCACGTCACACCCTGAACTGATACCCACTCTGTTTCCCCACTTGCCCCCAGATCTCCCCACTCCACCATCCGCTGAGGCACTGCAACGAATCATTAAGTGTGTCTTACCCAACATGTCGTTGGATACCTCTGATCTTCCACCTTCCAGCTCCCCCAATTCCGTTCGGCTGTTTCAAGCTTCGACCAAGCTCTACAAACTGGGCTCCTTGGAGGATTGGTGCGGGGATTAGGTTTGCCTGAAGAGGCGGGCACTGGCATTGTACCTTCTTGAGAGCGGTTCAGGAGCAAGCCGATCGTGAAGGTGCCTCTGATGATAGGATGGATACCGACTAGGAATTGTATAGCTGCTATAACTGATCTGAGCTGCAGACCAATGTGATATTCTTATCGTGATGCCATCACCCATCTTTCCTTGTCGATAACACTCATGGCCTCCCGAGTATGGACTTTGTCCATTGAGAAACGCGAAGAGCTCATCAAAGCCTCTTTTGAGGGCAAGGGCTTCCTTCTGTTGTAGATCTCAACTCTGACTGCTCCTCAGCGAAAAAGCATACATATTCGCCATACTCCAAGTTCCCCGTGGGTGCTGCGCTGCTCGCCGCTGACGGGACCATTTTCAAGGGTGCCAACATCGAAAACGCGTCATACGGTGTGGTCCTTTCATATCTACGAAACCCAGGCCGAGATGTGTCCAGGTGGAACGATCTGCGCAGAAAGGACTGCATTCGTGAAGGCAGTTGTGAGTTCAACCGTGTTCTCAGCGTGGAACGCCCACACACACATCCACGGCTTCATTAGAGCGAGGGCACCCGATCTTTCATCGCGCTGGCCGTTGTGAGGTCAGTGACCGCTGTCTATCCCTCCTGTCGAAGCTGATAGACACGTCGACGCTAGCGATGTGCCGGAGGCCATCTCTCCCTGTGGCATGTGCCGTCAGGTCATCCGCGAGTTCTGCGCGCAAGACATGCCCATTCTGCTTGTGCCAGCAGACTATCCGAAACCCGAGGGCTCGAAGGGTGGGAATTCGTTTGGTGGTGTGAAAGAGACCAGCATCGCATCGCTTCTTCCTGACAGTTTTGGACCGGAGCATCTCGACCTCCCTCGGTCTGGGGGTAACCAGTGCGTCGGCCCCACTCAATCTCTTCCTCTGTCCTCGCTGACAAGCACCCTCAGCTCTTGAACCATCTATCTTCTATAATCCTTCCACGATATGTAACACATCCTTGCTCAGACTCGGACGCCCGTGGGACTATCCTCTATCGTGTCGACGTGAATCTTCTTCGGCGCTCATCTTTTGATCATTCGTAACTTCAACACATGCCTCCTGACGCGACGGCAGTTTGAATTCTCCGTCTGCAAGTGCTGTGAAACTTTTCCCAGCATGTCTCTTCTGTCCTGCGATTTGCGCTGTGATATCCCCGACCAGCCCTATGGGGAGCTCCGACTGAGATGCGATGGATCAGAAACGCGGTCTCCGTATAGTCTGACGATGCAGCTCTTATCGGAAAGGCCGGCTGGACTTGGACCAGGATGCCTTCACTCGAAGAGCTGCGGATGACAATGCATGTTCTCCGAGTACCGAGTACAGCGGAAACGAAGCCAGGCACTAGGAGACTCTGTGCCTGCTGGTACATCTGAAAAGATGTGACTGATTTCGACTCGATAGGCCAGTTTATGAATGACAGGTTGGATGCTTCCGGTCTACCTCGGCGCGATGCCTGGCTACATAGACAACGCGCGGACCCATCTGCGTGTGTAGAACTGCTTCAATCTTATCATCAATGTGCTGCTACTGGGCATCTCGATGCTTTCCGCGTACCGCTGTCTGGATCCTTGGAAGAGATCATCTGGCATGTTCCGTGCTGAACACACGGCAGAGAAAGAATGACCGAACAGCATCTTTGCGCGGATCCACAGCAACTTGAAAAGACGTTACTCTCGATTGCACCGAGTTCGCATCCTTGCCTATGCGATGAACGTGTCGGTGGCTGCAAGTGCACTTGGCCTAGGGGCTCGGGTGTTCTTGACAAAGGGAGATCCAGTCATAGGGTAAAACTAGGTGAGGGATACATCATAGGGATTAGTATACATATACAGCTCGTTCAGTCGATGATCTCTTCCGCATCATTGTTGCGTCGCGCTCGTGCTTGCCTCTTTTCGAAAGCCTTGACCTTCCTGGCTAGATTGGGGTCGGGTATGCACTGGGCAAGTGTGAAGGATTGGCTGCATCCCGCCGTCGGACACTTCAATCGAGTACTGGTACGGAACATGGCCCTGACAGCCGCGCCAGAGAATGAATGGTGGCAGACCGTGCTAGAGAATAATTCAGACAAGAACTCGTGCCCAAAGAAAGGAATTACGAGGTCATGGGATCCTCCAGCAGGGTCAAAGAAAGCGGGCATCTGAAGTCTTGAGTCACTCCGCCAATCACAACGTCGTCGTCGTCGTCGCTCTCGTCGCCATCCTCTATAAAGCTATCAGCAAAAAAATTTGTGGGAGACCGGACTGATACAAACCTCGAGGAATGAAGTCAGTGATCGGAGGCATTGCACTGGAGCTATGTTTTGCGTTCTAGCGCAGTCATCGGTAAGATTGAATACAGTGCTTGAGAGGAAGCGTGGACGAACAAAGATTGCCTCCTTGAACTCCATGTACTGATCGCTCGTCGCGTACTTCTGACGCGAAGTTTTTCCATCGTACTTGTCCTTGAGTTTCTCAACTCTCTCCAGATATAGATCCTTCGCGTTAGTCTAGAGCACGTCAGAGCGTGATTCATGATTACAAGCATTCACGTACAATTTCGACCCCTTGGTCAATCTCGTACATGATCCCTTTTAGAATCTCACTGTTGCCACGCATGAGAGCCTGAATGTCGAGTGATTCGCGCAACACTTGATCCAGTTGCTCCAATTTCTTGAACAGAGTGAGCGAACGGTTCGTGACAATAAGATGTTCCTGACCGCCTCGGCATCTCCACCCGTTATATCAGCTAAAGCCTCTGCTGCACTGTTCATCAGATTCGACGGTTGGGTCATGACCTTCTCCAGCTGCAGCCAGTCACTCGCCAGGCCGGAAATTTTGTGGCCATCGGCTCTAGAGATAGGCTGCTCTTCAAAGTGGTTGATATCGATACGGTCATCTTCATCCTCCTCCTCCCCTTCTTCATCCATCGCCTCCAAAGGGCGCGCAGCGGACTTTCCTTTCGCCCGCTTTGACTGTCTCTCTCTCTTGTTCGGTCGAGGCGCGTCTTCGTCGTCGACGTCATCGGCGGGACGCGCCTGAGTGGCCTGGTCCTCCTCAATGTCTGAAGATGGCTGTTGGGCTGAACGTTTCCGACGCGATGTTGCGACGGGCATGGTGGGTGGAAGGCGTTTTTGCGGTTGTAATCAAGGACGCGTTTGTTTGGGAGTGATTGTCAACGCGTCGTCACAGCCACAACGCACTCTTTCCCTTTCCGATGTTAGCTGCGTTGAGGTCCCTTGGACAGCCCTGGGCAACTCATGCGACCGGCCTAGCATTGAGAGCTTCTGCAGCTTCGTCGAGGCCTCCCGTACAATCTCGAATTCTCCCCCAACTCCGCTCTTTCCATGCTACACCAGCAGCTCACCGAACTCTGAATCAGTCGTGCCGGAACAAGCATCAGCGACGAAGCCAAAAGTCGGCGTCTCCTCTGCTAGAGAACTCTCCCCAGCGGAAGGGTGTTTGCTCCGAAGTGTTTGTCGCCAAACCTAAAAAACCCAACTCCGGCAAGCGGAAAGTCGCCCGTGTGAAGCTGTCGACCGGAAAATCGTGCATGGCGTACATCATGGGAGAAGGGCACAACCTGCAGGAGCATAGTGTCGTTTTAGTGAGAGGAGGTCGTGCGCAGGATTTGCCTGGTGTGCAGTAGGTGCCTTGTTTGCTTCTCACTGCTTGTCTCTGAGTCTTTTAGATACAAAATCGTGCGTGGAACCTTGGACCTGGGTGGTGTTGTCAACCGTATGCGTGCTCGCAGTCGATACGGGTATGTTCTCGACTCATTCGTCACGGGCTGATCTAAAAGTCGTACAGTGTCAAGAAACCGAAGAAGTAGCTGTTTTATGCAAGACTATAGATACATATTGGCTGTAGTTGGATACATTAGATCTGATTGCATTGGAAAGTCCTGTTGGAGGAGTGAATAATGGTGGGTGAGAATAGGTGGATTATATCATCGAGAAGACTCTGCGAGCTTCTCAGTGGCTTCACACGCAGTCTGGAAGCAAGCCAGGAGGACGTCCAAGTCTTCCATGCCGACACTGACGCGAATCATGGTCGATTCCACGCCGTGCGTCGCAGCCCAGTCCAACTCCGCGTAATGCGCAAGAATGGCATACGGGCATGCGAGTGTGAAGTTGGTGCCAAGACTGGGGCCCTTGTTGCAGGACAGATTGTCGAAGAAAGTGGATGCGAGCGCCATGGAGGCGAACGTCACAGAGAAAAGACCGCCGTAACCCCCCTCCTCGATGCCCTGGGCTGGGTCACCCGGAATTCGGCAGCGTTCGTAGTTTTCCGTCGTGACATATCGAGGATAGAACACCTCTTTGACGATCGGCGAAGAGCTGCCACCTGCAATAGATTTGGACCGTAGGTACTCGCAAACGGCTCTTGCGTTTCTGTCGATCACTTTGACGCGTCGCCGAAAGTCACGGGAGTTTCGCTCCATGTAGATGGCGTCCTCGTCAAAGTAGGTGTCCTCGTAGCTAGCTGTCATGTGCGATTTCAGACTCGCGTAGTAAGACGATTGAGGATTGAGGCAAAGACTGGAATCGAGATGATTACTTAACAGACAGTTGGACTGAACAGTTATATCATACCTTCCGCCCATGACGTTGGAGTAGCCACTGAACACTTTGGTGAGGCTGCTGACGACGATATCTGCATATTGGATGACCGCGACATTCAAAAAGTTGCCGACGGTCTCGTCAATGACGACTAGGAACTTGTATTTGTCTGCGAGACTGCGGAGTCGCGGGAGATCAGCTGTTCGGAGCAGAGGATTGGAAGGAATTTCGAGGAAGACAGCCAGAATGGGAGGGTTGACGGGATCGGATGCGGATTGTTGCTCCAGAATCTGCTCGAGACTGTCCAAATTCCCATCCCCGATGAAATGGCATCCTGGTCCCCACTTTTCCAGCAATTTCAGAGTGTCCGTGTAGGTAAACCTGTACAGAGTAAGAGAACTGCTGAGGCCAAGATCGACTGGATTCACCCTAGGCAGACGCTCTTTTTGGCTGGTCTCACAGCTAGGCAGAGCTGGTGAGAATTCCAGATGGCGGCCATCCCAGTGGGATACAGAAACACATCGTCCTCCGACAATCCATCTACTCCACGCCCAACAGCCGCCACATCCGCGTTCTTGTCCCCGTTGTCCAGCGCGTCAGATGATTCTAAAGGCGCGTCGCGCACAAGAACACCAGCAATCCTCATGCGCAATGCGCGCTTCGCAGTTGCGGCCGCCGAGAGCGGAAGATTGCGGCCGTAGCGTTCTTCGACGTACATCGAGTGATCGAGACTGAGGTCGTCAATGTTACGCCCCACGCTTTCCGTAGGAGAAGAAGGCTTTGCCTTGGCGGAGTAATGCTTGTTGTACGCTCTCCGCGGGGTATGTTGCAATCCATTGGGGACAAATGTCGTCTCCACTGGCAATAGGGACAAACAATGCTCCGCAAGTCGGCTGGAAATTCCAAGACCGGTGTGCTGCCAAAACTGCTTCGCAAAGCCGAATGCCTGTTCCGGAAACAACACGATATGCAGGCTAGCTGAGATGGAGGACAAAGTCACAGATGTTTCGTCGACACAGGGACCTTGATTTTGCTTGTCCTCAGGAAAGATGTTGAAATGAATGAGTCTTGGGACGATCGGAGTGCCCTCATTCTTCGAACGGATTTCCATGAACGAACGGCATTCAGCGGCGATCTTCTGTGATGGAACTAGCAGACATAGTTCATTCCGAGCCCCAAATTTCTGCTCGCATATAGAGGCAAGCTAGACGGCAAATGGGGAGTTTCAGAACGCGCTCAATAATGATGCAGAAATGACTTGCCTTGCGGATACTCAGGTGAATGAAGAACCGGGGATATCCAGTCACCATAGCATCAACCACGCGTTTTTCTGCTTCCTCGTAGTCTACATTGTCTTTCCAAGTGGGAAGAGACACGGATATGGCATGGGGGGTAAACGCAGGGACGGAAAGGCCAAGAGGTATGCTCATCGTAAGGTTAGAGGCAACTTCTGTCGGACAGAATTTCAGAATCTCTGACTCAATTGTGATATCGCATCATCGGATCATCATATTCGATTGATACGTATTTGTCGTAAACTACTTCGACCACTCCCTCCACTGCCATGAGCGACTTTGATTTCACGTCGAGCGGAGGGGCGAACGAAATTGACTTTGACGCTGCTGCGTCCCAGTTTCCTGACATCTCCTTGGACGGTGCTGGAGATTTCCCCTCTTTGCCATCCGCACCAGCCCTTGCCAGCACCAACAGCAATGACTTCCTCTCTGGCTTTGACGAACCTGTAGAAACAGCTGTGAAAGTGACAGGGGATGATGAGATCGAGAAATTCACCAGCGAGTTTCCTGATATCCAGCCCGTATGCACCTGGCCAATGTCATCCTTCCACTTGTATTCTGAAGCGCGCTCTAGATGTCTCCACCTGTGATTCAGCAACAAGCACCCACGTTCGGCGCTCCGCGCCCCCAACCCTCCGCTTTCACCTCGACCCCCATTCTTAGTCAGCCGATAGAAGAGGATGAGCCACAAGTCATCAAGTGCGCGATATCTCTCTCGCTCTACCCGTGAGCGATGGCTCATACGTGTTTTAAAGGGACTGGCGTGAGAAGCAGGCCGCCGAGATCGTCGCGCGTGACGAGGCGTCGAAAGCGACTCGTCAGAAGACTATCACTGCCGCCGAGCAGTACATGGACGAATTCTACGGCGCCTATGCAGACAAAAAGGCGCGCACCATTCGGGACAACAAGTGCGCGTCTTGTGTCGCGGTTTTCTGTGATGATTAATGGAATTTAGGGACGCCGAGAAAGATTTCCTCGAGCATTTGACTGGCTCTCTGTCCACGGGCACCACATGGCAGCGCATTTGTGAGCTGATCGAGCTCGAGAACTCTCAGAGCAAAACCATCGCTCGCGCCGGCCCTGGGACCACCGATCTGACACGCTTCAAGGAAGTTCTACTGCGGCTCAAACGTGAGGACACAGCGGCACCTGGCGCAGGCGGATACTAGTAGTCCATATGAGGGTTTACTGTCATAACCTGGAATCACTTTTCTCGAATTGCAGGACATGCCACAATGTCATCAGGACAATCCTCAGCTGATCGCCTTGTACACTTCGCTCTCCAATATGCCGAAGAGTTTCTCGTACTCGTCATCTCCACTGGGCACCAACTGAGCACCCATCAAGACCGCGATACCGCTGGCGGGGTCCATAAAGTAAGTGGTGGACGCCCATCCGCCCCCTGGCATGTGGTCAGTCGATGAGAATCAGTGGGCGGCCACTACTTACATGCACCGGAGCCCTTCCTGCGTTTACCTGGGACATCTTCCAGATTGACGAGAAGCCCAGTGCTCCATTGCCCACAGCCTACTGGCGCATTCAAGTATCTACTGAAAATAGGCATTTGTATGTTGATAGTGTCTGCTGCTTTCGTGCATAAAGTTGGCTGGAATAGACTTTCCACGGTCGAAAGCGTAAGGATAGGTTCGGAAGCGACACCAGCTTCGCAGAGTTCAGTACAAGGCAAACCAATTTCAGGTCAGAGCTGACCTTTAATTTGTAGTAGATGACGCAGGATAGCCAGATAGTCTTTCTGCGTAGAGTATAACCCCACCCCGCCAAGGAAAACTTTGACTAAGGAAAGGCCGTAAGCAAGGGTTGATATTTTGGACGAAGAGACAACCGTTGGCAGGATCCATGTCAACTACAGGGGGAGCGTTCCACCGCTCGATCTCCCCTTTCTTTGTCCGATACGACAGAGGAAGAAGCGCTTGTTTGATTTGGTCTGTGGGATAGAAGGTGGTCGATGCGATCCCGAGGGGGTTGAATATGTGATCCTTGCTAGATGATCGTCGGCCTTCAGCACTGTGGCAATTGTCCAGCGCGCATGTCACCTACAAATATTGTTCCAGCGTCTTCCCGGATACTCGTTCGACGATGAAACCGGCTATGTCACTGGAAAATCCATATGCAACTGTCAACTTGTTAGTCTAAGCGTCGAGAGAGAGAACAAGCCAACTTACAATCAGTGCCTGGGTCGAAGCGGAGAGGAATGCCGGGGAGCGAGCCCTGAGATAGCTGCTATCAATACAGCGACGGGCAAACTTAGTGGCCAGAAACAGGCCTTGATCAAGGCGAAGAATTTGGAAATGTCTCCATCTCTGTAGTTGTGCGTGTACGCTTCCGGAAGCTCTGAAGAGCTCTCAGCGCTCTCAGCTCCCGTGACAATGGAAAGGGTCAACCTCCAGGAGGGCCACCGCGAGGCAACCAATAATCCAAACCACTGCTATGATTCAGTAGTTGCCCGACGGTGATCTTTGAGGCCGCAGGTCTCGTAGAAAGGATCGCTCCGGCTGCGTCTTGGGCAGTGACTACGAGGAGATTGGCCAACTCTGGTAAGATCGTTTCCGCCAAGGTGTCACGAGTGATCTTGCCCTGATCTATCAGCTGGAGAGTTGCGATCTACGCCACGGTCAGCGACACATTCAACAACACCTACACAGACACACAGAAGTCACAAGCTTGCTTTGGCTGCATAACCAGAACACAGTGTCTTCATTGATACGATCGCTGGCAGGATCGTCAATGAGTTTGTGTCCGACGTGGTTCATGTAGATCGGGCCGTTGACATCGGTAACCCCATAGAACAAAGCAGATGTCGTCTTCGAATCTACAGAATCGCGCTGGAGATAGTTAGATAGTGCGACGAAGTCTCAGAAAACATACCAGTAGCTCATCAATCCGCTGTCTTTGAGAGGCAGAGAAGGCGACCATGTCAACTGGGATTCGAGGAGATGGTGGGGGTTGCTAAGATTGGTGAATCTCGTGATGACTTTTGGAGAGCGCCCACCCGGCCCGGCCTTATGATGCGAAACACGCCCGAGATGATTTTCAAAACGTCTTCATACACTTCCATTGATCAGCGCTCGGCATAGGTAGTAGTTATTGAAGGAAGAAAAGGGGGTTATATCACTCTATCACATACGAGACACCGTCCCACCCGAGGAGATGCCTGCCCACTGAGCACTGTATGCAGATCATAGTTGCATCGGATCTCGCAGGTACGTCCAGCCTTCCGTTATGCGAGTGCGTCCGAGTCGATTTTTGCATGACCGATGAGCGCTGCATAGAGGCTCCGACGAGCGACGTCCCAGGACATTCTGCAGCGAGCACCAGGGTCCTCATTTGCCTTTGACTGATGGCTTCGAAGAACTGCGACGCAGTGAGACTGGAAAAGATGAGAAGGAACGTTGTTTTCACCTATCTACCGGGCCATTCTTCATAATGGTTAATTTGCCGTTAGACGCGGCGGCTACCATTTGTTGTTCAATTGATTTGTTGATCTTAGCAGTCAGATTCTGTGAAATTTCATCAGATCTAGTGCACACAGAGAGCGGAATGAAGAAGAAAGAGACCGGAACTCACCTTGTGAAGCGCTGCTTGTTGTACAAGGACAGTTTTCTGGACCGCGTGCTTCAGTACAAAAAGAGTAGCCCAAGCATAAAATGGCATCCATACCTTTGGAGCGATGAATCTTTTCCCCTTCTTCGTTCCAGATGCCGCCTTAGCGGCGTGTCTCGAGTTTGCGCCCTTTGACTGAAGTCCTTTCGTTTTGCCTTGCGCCATGGTGGACTAGGGTGGATCGGAAATACACTTTGTGACTATGTCCGTGACACCGTAACAATCCCAACTCATCCTCCTGCTGTGGCCGGATATGCTGCTACGCGTCCCACGCTCTTTTGCGTCTCAGGGAAAGGTGCTTGCTCTTCTATTCCCCCACCGAGTGAATTTCACCTTCGGCATAGCGAGCCTACCATGATCTCGTCACTCTCCCATCCAAGAAAGCTGTCGTCTCTCAAGGTCTTCCAGGATATAGCGCGGTGTCCGGCCACACCGTCACCGTCTTTGGCTGCACCGGCTTCTTGGGCCGGTACCTGGTGTCGAAAATTGGTGCGCTCAATATTGAGAGCACCCTCGCGCTGTATTAAGTTCCACAGCCAAGCTGGGAACGCAGGTCATTGTTCCGTACCGGGACGAAGACGAGGCACGGTTTTTGAAACCTATGGGCGATCTCGGTCAGATAGTTCGCATGGTACGCTGTAATCCTTGGTCCCTATCACTCTCTCACAACTGGCGTAGGAATGGGACATCAGAAACGACGAACAAATCGCGGAATGTGTGAGGCATTCTGATATCGTGTACAACCTCGTCGGGAGAGATTACGAGACGAAGTGAGCTTCTTGATAGAAACCGCGTGTGGTCTGAACATGCTTGCAGGACCTTCGACTATGATTCGATAAATGTCGCTGGTGCAGAGAAAATTGCTTCCATCTCTGCTGAATGCGGTGTTTCGCGTCTGGTTCACGTCTCTCATTTGAACGCTTCCAAAACTTCGGAATCCAAATTTTATCAAACGAAAGCGCTCGGCGAGGAACGGGTCAAAGCAGCTTTTCCCAGCGCTACCATAGTCAGACCTGGTGCTCTGTACGGCTTCGAAGACAAGTTTTTGAACAGCATTGCTAGTGCGTCATGAGGCAATCCGCAGCATGCCCAGCTTTTCATTCTGACGTCCAGTCTCCCCATGGTGGTGGAAGTTGAATTCCGGTAAAACGCAGGTTCGGCCCGCCCATGTGAGACCTCTTATCTTTGTTCTCTGAGCAGCGTTGACATCAGTGGCAGGTCATCGATGTTGCGGAAGCACTGGCCAAGCTGATGTCTACGCCTGAGCTGGCTTCAAGGACCTTGTCGCTTCCTGGCCCGTCTACTCTGAACTATGAGTACTTGGTGGATCTCGTTTCTGCCGTGACAATCCGATCTTTCCATTCCTACGCACCCGAGTTGCCCCGAGCCATTGCGACGTCCGTGGCAAAGGCTCTCCAGCTTGTTTGGTGGCCTTTGATGAGCCCTGACGAGGTCACAAGACGCTTCATGGATGATGTTCAAACCGCAGGAGATTGGGCAGAATTGGGAATAA